AATCAAATTTTTCATCCTATGGAGGTCTGGATTTGGAGTCACACTCAAAATTAAAGTGGAAAAACACACTACACGCTGATCCAACTTATGTAATGTCCTTAAGACAAATCAAAATGAGGCTCAGTAGTGTGTGTGGCCCCCACGTGTCTGTATGACCTCCCTACAATGCCTCTGCATGCTCCTGATGAGGTGGCAGATGGTCTCCTGAGGGATCTCCTCCCAGACCTGGACTAAAGCATCTGCCAACTCCTGGACAGTCTGTGGTGCAATGTGACGGTGGATGGAGTGAGACATGATGTCCCAGATGTGCTTAATTGGATTCAGGTCTGGGGAACGGGCGGGCCAGTCCATAGCATCAATGCCTTCGTCTTGCAGGAACTGCTGACACACTCCAGCCACATGAGGTCTAGCATTGTCTTGAATTAGGAGGAACCCAGGGCCAACCGCAACAGCATTTGGTCTCACAAGGGGTCTGAGGATCTCATCTCGGTACCTAATGGCAGTCAGGCTACCTCTGGCGAGCACATGGTGGGCTGTGCGGCCCCCGAAAGAAGTGCCACCCCACACCATTACTGACCCACTGCCAAACCGGTCATGCTGGAGGATGTTGCAGGCAACAGAACGTTCTCCACGGCTTCTCCAGACTCTGTCACATCTGTCACGTGCTCAGTGTCAACCTTCTTTCATCTGTGAAGAGCACAGGGCGCCAGTGGCGAATTTGCCAATCTTGGTGTTCTCTGGCAAATGCCAAACGTCCTGCATGGTGTTGGGCTGTAAGCACAACCCCCACCTGTGGACGTCGGGCCCTCATACCACCCTCATGGAGTCTATTTCTGACTGTTTGAGCAGACACATGCACATTTGTGGCCTGCTGGAGGTCATTTTGCAGGTCTCTGGCAGTGATCCTCCTGTTCCTCCTTGCACAAAGGCGGAGGTAGCGGTCCTGCTGCTGGGTTGTTGTCCTCCTACGGCCTCCTCCACATCTCCTGATGTACTGGCCTGTCTCCTGGTAGCGCCTCCATGCTCTGGACACTACACTGACAGACACAGCAAACCTTCTTGCCACAGCTCGCATTGATGTGCCATCACTACCGTCTCATGCTACCACTAGAGTGAAAGCACCGCCAGCATTCAAAAGTGACCAAAACATCAGCCAGGAAGCATAGGAACTGAGAAGTGGGGTGTCTTGCTAATTGCCTATAATTTCCACCTGTTGTCTATCCCATTTGCACAACAGCATGTGAAATTGATTGTCACTCAGTGTTGCTTCCTAAGTGGACAGTTTGATTTCACATAAGTGTGATTGACTTGGAGTTACATTGTGTTGTTTAAGTGTTCCCTTTATTTTTTTGAGCAGTGTACTTTCTCCTTCAGCACCACAGATAAACCTCAGCTACCAAACAGCCCGTCCATAATCATTGGCGTTCCTCCCTTCTGATTCTTTATTGCTGGTCTCATACCCACAGTCCTAAATTGGAATTACTATTTTTTTTGTCTAATGGTAATTTTATTATAATATTATAATTATAAATACTGTCATTTTTTCTTTTGATTTGCAGTCCACTTTTTCTTTTTGTATTCAACATAAAAAACAAGTTTCCTTTTCAAAGGTTTTGACAGCAAACTCTTTAGGTCGTAACTCCTGTGAGTTTTGATACTTTTACATGACAATTTTTTATTTTATTGAAGTCAATATGAACTCATTGCTACAAGACTTGGCTGATTTTTTTCCCGTGGGTTTAGGATCTTTGAGACTGGACAACCTAACATAGAGTACTTTGTACATTAGGCCAAAATAAACTAGATGTAAAATTTCTCCACATTGGACATATTATTGTTTTTTAGATTGTATGGTGCTATAAAAGTCAAAGTTGTCAGTTCACCAAAACTCATTATTCAGAGAATAACCATGCAATTCCACTTTTAGTTTTTTTTTATTATTTGTTTTCCATCACAATATATTGGATTAATTGTTTAAAGGGGAATTGACATTTATCTGCAATTTATACCATAGATAATATATTGAAAATCTATAACTTGTGTTAACCTTTTCCGTGAGATGCTATACTTTCTTTAAAATGTATACTAAAGATTTAACAAACAATATCATAATCCAGTTTAGTCAAGGCAAGCCGTTGTGAACATTCCGAACGGAGAGGAGCTTATAACAATGATTGACAGAGAGCTAAGATGGAGGAGCCCGGCTTCAGGATTAAGAGATGCAGATTACTGTATTTCATTTTATTTTTCACACCTCACAAATACATTTTGTTAAATATAGGGATAAGTAAACATAATATTGAAAAAACCTTGGATGTCACGGTTCCCCTTTAAGCAACTTGCATGTACCATACAAGGAGTGATGGCATAAAGCGGTTTATAATTTTTGTGATGACAATCTGCATACATAAATTTAGAATGTGCCTTCTGTGGCTCAAATATATGTGTTCTTAAAAGCAAGAATGTGTCATCTGCTGTACACAAAACATGATATACAGTGCTGGAATCCTGGGTAAATATTAGGATTTCTACAGATAACTTCTGGCCTTGAATACACAAACTGCATTGCAAACAATGCAAATGGTGACTCCCGTATCCCTTACATCCAAGCTGTCAATTTAATAATGGTACTTTGCTATATATTCTAGAAGGTTATATCCTTAGCAGTAACTCACATCGATCAGACCATGAATTATACACTAATGTGGCAAAGTGAGTGATGATATATGTCTCCAATGCAGTGTCTGAAAACTTTCCTCATATCTTTGAGTGTCACTAGGATGATCAATGCATTTGCAAAAGTAAATTCTCCCATCATAAAAAAATACCACAAGCCTGTCCCTTGCCATCTCAGACTACTGACAAGATTACCTGGACCATCATGAGCCTGATAAGAATTCTATTTACAACGTCAACATTCAGATCCCTGGTGAAACTGTTCCATCTACATTCTAAAAATTGAGCCTATGCACTATCATAATAGAATGTAAAGTGCTATGGACTGAAATGTTATTGTTTTATTATTATATTTTTTAATTATTATTATGATTTTTGTATGTCTTTTCCTATGTGAACCAAGGTTCTCTAACTTACAAAGTTTAATACTGTATTTACCTAAAAGTGCATTACTGGCTATACAGTAAGTTTGAGACTGACTTTACTATCTCGCTAAACTCTGTTGTATGATATTGCACAGTTGTTGTGGTGGTAACCCAGGGCATTTCTTATGGTTGTACAAGGAGATTCCTTTCGTATGTTCCTATTCTCACTTTTTCACAGTTTTTGAAGTGATTAAGCTTTATTGAAGCTGGAAACTCTGAACAAGATATGGCGTGTGGCCAACCATTTATAACAGGGATATTGTGCTCTACTTGTGAAAAAAACAACTTTTGTTTTCAGTGGCATTAATATTACTGTTTATTTAGTATATTGTGTTATATCTTGTGTTAACCATGTGGAGCAGGTCCCATTTTGCTTCACCTGAGCATTGTTTGTCTGGTGGGGTTTCCGTCAATGTATGCAAACACGCCACAATTCTAAATTAACAAAATGTGTTCTAAAACATTTTAGGGCCTTATTTTTCTAATATACTCAGTGGAGGGTTTCCATTATGTTTATTTGTAAAATAACATGTAATGTAGATGTTGCCTACAGAAATGTGGGGTGAATATGATGGTGGTGATTGTACATATTTAAATGCTTTACATCACAGGTCCTCAAGCGGCCATATTAGAGCCTCCCAGAAGGTGGCTGGCTGTATGCTAAGGTAGAGCAGGTACCTGCCTACCCAGACAGCAGGTCCCTACTATACCTGAATGTGCTGTGTCCAGAGGGGAGAATGAAGGTAAGCGGTGAGGGAGCACTGATGTCTGTTCTGTTATGATGTCACTCTAGCCCCGGCATCACTAAACAGCAGAGAGGGAGCAGAGCAAGACCATAAATATGGCAGCAGCCACACTAGACCCTAGGGAAAGGATCCCTACTGGACTCCAGGGAAAGGATCCACTCCAGGTCTACCATAGGTAGGCATGCTGGGTGGACTAATGTAAAAATAATTAAAACAAAAATTTTGAGTGTGTGTGAGAGTATGTGTCTATCAGTGAGTGTGTGTGTCTGTCGGTGTGTTTCAAATCAGTGAGAGTGTATTAGGGAGTGTGTGTGTTTATGTCAGTGTCGTCTGTGTGTAAATGTGTGTGTGTCAGTTTCCTCTGTCTGTAAATGTATTTGCCAGTGTCTTCTGTGTGTAAATGTGTGTGTGTCAGTGTCCCTTGTGTGAAAATGTGTGTGTGTGTCAGTGTCCTCTGTGTGTAAATGTGTGTGTGTCAGTTTCCTTTGTCTGTAAATGTGTGTGTGTGTCAGTGTCCCCTGTGTGTTTATGTCAGTTTCTTCTGTGTGTAAATGTGTGTGTGATTGTGTCAGTGTCCCCTGTGTGTGTGTGTGTGTCAGTGTCCTCTGTCTGTAACTATTATATGTGTATTATATTCTCATTTTGTGACTTTTATAAATTAGATTAATAGTTCATACGCTCCTCCTTACAAATACAATATTCACATTAAGTCATAATTATTTTACTTTTCTTTTTAAATATTCTTCACGACCTTTAATCAGGCTTGTTTCCTAATATGGAAATTAAGTTAAACATCTGTATCTACACGTTTCATTTGGAATTTAAATCAGTAGAAATTACTTTATCGGGCAGAGTATTTTTTTTAGACCTGCAGTGGTACTTCTTCGTAAAAAGGTTGACAAACACTTCTTTACATGGCATTCAGGGAGAGATTTGACAACACAATATATCAGAGCTGCTATAACACAGACAAATTATGCCTTATGATATGCACATAATCCATAGCGTACATTGCTCGGTACACATTTCTAATTTTTCTTTTGCTCCATGGAGGGGGTTGTCACGATTAGCACCTTGTATGCAAAGGTTTGGACAGGGAGAATAAGCTTTCTTTGACAACTTGATATACTGTTATATTGAACGACTTTTCTTTTTATTTCTTTGTATTTGTTTTCTGTTTAATCCAGTCAACGTAGTTAGATACTCTTGTGTAAACTCCAGGCTTGTTAGTTCTGCCACATCCATCTCCCCAGCTGATGATTCCATAGAGATAGGATATTTTATCCCTTTCACAAGTCAAACCTCCACCGGAATCACCCTTTAAAAAAAATAATAATAAACAGAAAAAACATCAACAGAAAATTAAGACTGTGAGAATAAGTGCTACTTTAAAATTAAAGCAAATGAATGATCTTAGAGCAATTGTTTCATAGACTTAAAGGAACAATTCGATCCAGTGTTAATTTTGTCAGCAAATTGCGATTTAGTTTTAGTCATAGTCTTTTGACAAATAAGCCATTTTAGTTTTAGTCGTTTTTTTTTTGGTCTTCTGAATTGTTTTAGTTTTAGTCTAGTTTTAGTCGACTAAACCTCAAAAGTTTTAGTCGACTAAAATTTGACTAAATCTGTTAGTCAACAAAATTAACACTGCTTTGGACACCATGACAACTTAATCCTAATGAAGCTGTTATGGTGCCTGGATGCTCTGTCTAACCCTAAGGGGTTCATTTAGTAAAATAGTTCCGTTAGTTTAATAGTTATATCCCAAAGTTGTGTAGACAGTTACTAATCCCCATCCATGGCCCCAACATCAATTATAAAGCCTCGGATTGGCCATCAATTATAGGCTGACAATGTCAGCTGATACTCTTAGCCTATTACACTCTTACCAATAAGAAAACTGAAGCCCATGGAGCAACGAAGTAAGGGGAGTGGGCCTTGACAGAGCCAGGAGTGGGCAGGTGCATTCAGTTAGGGGTTGGCTTAAGCTAATGGAGCTTGGGGGCGGGATTAAAGGGGGTTAAAATAACGGCCATCTTAGAGAGTGGCCATTTTAATCAGAACTTCACTTACCTGTTAGTTGTGTCAGGTCTGTGGGGTTTTTCTTTTTTCTTTTGCTGCAGGTCCATGGCGTCCCTAGATGAGATCCTGGCCGGAGTGAGAGCAGCAGTGAAGGACCGAGGGCTGGCCTGGCTGCATGAACAACTGGGGGCTGCAGTTCCCCCTCCAGCACCAGCGGAGCGCAGGACAGCGCGAAGAGCACGGCCGCCCCAGCGCTTGAGTCCGGGCATGGCGCCCGCTCCACGGCGGCGGAGGAGCCCGTCGGCACCCAGCCAGGAGGCAAGAGGGTCGGACAGCACCGGGAAGCGGCCGGCGCCGCCTGTGCGACGCAGTGCCGGTCAGGCGAGGACGGCCGCAAAGCGCGGGCCTGCTGGTAAACGCGCCCCACCCAAGATGGCGGCAGGCAGCACAGGTACCCAAGAGGAGGGCTCCAGCACGGCGGGAATGGCGGCCGGGAGAGCGGAGGAACACGCTGTCGGCAGCACTTCAGTGAGGCGTCCCGGTGAGTCCACTCTGGTCACTGAGGGGCAGGGGGCGGGCGGGACGCGGGATGTTCCGGCGCAGGCGTCCCCCCAGCAACCCAGGGGTGGCCTGGTCAGCGGGACCAGCTCGCGGGCGGCCTTAGGTGTGGCCGGGACGGGCGACAGTGCCAGGCATAGGGAGGAAGGAAGACGACAGGATCGGACAGGGAGCGGCAGAGGTTCCAGCGGGCTGCCAGGGGGTGCAAGGGGCATCTGAGCCAGGCGCAGCGGCCAACAGATGGCCAGGTACAGCGGAGAAGGGGGACACACGCAGTACAGCGCGGGATAGGGAAGTCAGGAGCAGTAGCAGTGGAAGGTTGGGCCCCTCAGGCTGCTCTCACGGGGGGCACCGCAGCGGAACCAGGGAGCGGGAGGAGTACAGACGGGAGCGGCGCAGCGGTAGCGCCAGGCCCGGCAGCAGCAGGAGGTCAGCTGATCGGCAGTGGAGCAGGGACAGGAGTCCATCGCATAGCAGGCGCAGTGGTTCCAGGACCAGCTGCAGGGCGGGGAGAAGGAGGTCCGCTTCCAAGGACGGGCGGGGGCGGAGGCGGCGCAGCGCATCTGGGTCCTCGGGTGACAGTGCGCTAGGACAGCAGCGGGCCCCCAGGAGCAGGGAAGTTAGGCCGGCAAGGCGGTGCGAAGCTTGGAATTGCGGAGAAGAGCGTAGGGAGGAAGGACGGGTAGGGGCCCAGCAGTACAGACTACCCAGGTTGTCTTCTCCTTACAGGTCGCGGAGCGCTACCCCTACGGTCCTGAGGAGGGATCAGGCGGATGGGAGTCGGCGTCAACCGGATGCTCCGGAGCCTGAACGGGTGGACGGAAGGTCGGCAACCCCGGGGCCTGGCACGGCCGGGGTCTCCAACGGTGAGTCCATATCTGCACAACACTCCGGACAGTTATTGGGCTATTTAAAAACACTATTGGAGGCATGGTCAGGGAAGGGGGAATCACCATTGCAGTTCGGAAAGGTATGGTCCCCTGACACGGCGGTTAAGGCAATAGGGGCGGGGGTCCAACCGGCGAGCGGTGGCGAGGCAAGCGAAGCGGTAGTGGCGTCCGGTGCGGCGGATGGGGGGGCTGAGTCGGCGGTCGGTTGTGGCGACATTTCGGACGCGGCACGTCAAAACGTACACGTATCTTTTGCGGGCCCCCTAGGTTGTCACCTGAAATTAGAGGTCAAAGAAAAGATTTGGAAGGGGGAGTTCATGGAAATTTTTTCCTTGCTCCCTTTGGAGGAATTCCTAGACTTGAAGGAGGAGGATAAGAAGGAAGCCAAGAAGGAGGAAGAAGAAAAAAGGCGGAGGTATCGCAAGATACCGAAGACTTTTGGGAATTGGCTGAGGGCCTTCTGCATCCTGGCTAGTGTGATAGGGGAAAAAAGGCCAGGGAGCTGTTCGCAACTGTTCTGCTACTTGGATGGGATAGGCGATGCGTATCGGACGTATGGGGGCCTAGCGTGGTGGAAATATGATGAGCAGTTTCGGCAACGCTTGGCGGCCAACCCTACCATGCGGTGGGACCAAATGGACCTGCCGCTATGGATGAGGATTATGATGGCGCAGAAGGCTGCGCCCTTTCTCGGGGCAGCTGGGACAGCCTCAGGCGTGGCTGTGCCAGCGGGACAAAAGAAGGGCCTGTGCTGGACATACAACGAGGGTCAATGCAAGTGGGGTACTTCATGCCGATTTAGGCACGAGTGTTCGGGCTGCGGAGGGATGCTTCAAGAAAGGTAAGCTCAATGCAGGGGGTGGAACCGCAGGGGTGGCAGCCACCTCGGCTGCAACTGGGGGCGTCCCCAGTGAGGTTAGGCACGATGTTGCCTTGGCTAAGGCAATACGCTAACCAGGAGGATGCAGCGTTCCTGTGGCGGGGTTTTAGGGAGGGCTTCATGATCCCCTTCACGGTTAAGGAACCAGGGGCGGTTTGTGCCAATCTTAAATCGGTGCGGGAACGCCCGGAGGTAGTGCGGGAAAAGCTGGCCAAAGAGGTCCTTTTGGGGAGGATGGCGGGCCGTTCCCGTATCCTCCTATAGCGGAGTTGCGGATATCCCCACTTGGAGTGGTCCCCAAAAAAGAGGCTGGCAAATTCAGGTTGATTCATCACTTATCGTATCCTAAAGGGTCATCGGTGAATGATGACATCGACGCAGCACTCTGTTCAGTATCTTACACATCATTCGACAAGGCAGTCGAGTTGGTACGGAGAGCTGGGCGGGGAGCGCTGATGGCGAAGGTGGACGTGGAGGCAGCGTTTCGGCTGCTTCCCATACACCCGTCATGTCATCACCTCTTGGGGTGTTGTTTTGAAGGGGGCTTCTTTGTGGATCTGTGCTTGCCGATGGGTTGTTCCATCTCGTGCGCCTATTTCGAGAAGTTTAGCACTTTTCTGGAATGGGTAGTGCGACGGGAATCGGCCGGGGGCACGGTTGTGCACTACCTGGACGACTTCTTATGTGTCGGCCCTCGAGGCTCAGACCGGTGCAAGCAGATACTACGGGTGTTCCAATGGGTAGCGCAGACGATGGGGGTTCCTTTGGCGGAGGACAAGACCGTGGGACCCGCCACGTGTCTTAGTTTTCTGGGTTTGGAGATCGATTCGGAGATCGGGGAATGTAGATTACCACAGGACAAGTTGCACAAACTGAAAGATTTGGTGCACACAATTGGGAGAGCACGGAAGGTGACGCTGAGGGGATTACAGTCTCTGGTAGGGAGCCTGAACTTTGCGTGCAGGGTCATACCCATGGGGAGGGTTTTCTGTAGACGATTGGCGCGGGCGACAAGCGGGATACGGATGCCGTCACACTATATCAGGGTTTCCGCGGACATGAAGGCGGACTTAGAGGTGTGGGATCGTTTTTTGAGGGACTTCAATGGCAAGGCCTTTTTTCGGGAGCAAGTGGTGTCTTCGGAAGCAGTGGGGCTGTTTACGGACGCTTCGGGCAGCGTGGGGTTCGGGGCTTATTTTGCGGGACGGTGGTGTGCCGAGGCATGGCCCGAGGCATGGAGGGCGAGCCCATTGATCAAGAATCTGGCATTTTTGGAACTCTTCCCTGTAGTGGTTGCGGTAGCATTGTGGGGAGCTGAATTAGCAAACAAACGAGTCGTGTTTTATTCGGACAATATGGCCGTGGTGCAGGCAATCAACAGTTTGTCGGCATCTTCGCTTCCGGTCTTATGCCTACTGCGGCATTTGGTGCTCCTCTGCATGTCTTCCAATTTAGTATTCAGGGCTAGGCACATTCCGGGATTCTCAAATGTGGTGGCTGATGCGCTTTCTCGTTTTCAGTGGGATCGTTTTCGGGAAGCGGCTCCAGAGGCACGGGAATGCGGGCAGGCCTGCCCAGACGAGATGTGGCGACTCGGGACATCGTGCTTGGGGAATACATAAAGAAATCCTTGGCACCGAGCACGTGGTCATCTTATGCTAAGGTTTGGAAGGAATGGGAGGAAACGGTTGAGGAGGTAGGTGGGGACCTTTCGGAGGGCCATAGGCTGGATGTCTTCCTATGGTTGTTGTGCCGGTTGTTTGCAAAGGGGGCTTCGCCGGCCATGGTGGACAGGCATATGTCCGCCTTGGCTTTCTGGTTTAAATTCCAAGGGTGGGAAGATTTGACAAAGCATTTCTTGGTTCGGCAGGCGGTTCGGGGTTTACGGAGGGGGAAGACGTCGACGGACATTAGGAGACCGGTGTCTTTTGCGGTCTTACAAGGTTTGGTGGGAAAGTTACCGGAGTTATGTTCCTCGCCATTTGAGGTGGTCCTTTTTTCTGGTGCGTTTGTCTGGGCGTTTTTCGGGGCGTTTCGGATCAGGGAGCTGGTTAGCGCAAACAAAGTGGGAGTTGGTGGCTTGCAGCGCGAGGATGTGGAAGTTAAGAGTGATCGCGTGCAGATTAGGTTGGGCCGATCGAAAACTGATGTTTTCGGCAAAGGCTGCTCCGTGGTGCTATTCGAGTTGCCGGGGTCAGGGTTGTGCCCGGTGGCCTGCGGATCAGGGTACCTGGGGATCCGTCCTAACATTAGCGGTTGTTTTTTCCTGCACGCTGACGGCACGGCGCTGTCACGGTTTCAATTCATTAGGATTTTTCGTTTGGGCTTAGTGAAGCTGGGCCTGCAGCCCACGCAATTCGGGTCGCATTCATTCCGTATTGGTGCGGCTACAGAGGCGGCACGCTTGGGTTTGGGTGACGAACGGATCAAGAGGATTGGACGGTGGGAATCCGTGCGGTTTCGCTCGTATGTGAGGCCTGACGGGATGGTGGAGCTTTGAGGGGTTAAATGGCCGGGACTGGGGGACACTGGCACTGCGGTGTAATTAATTTTGTCTCTTTCCAGGTTGGAATGTTTGGTTGCTGGGACACTCGTTCGTATATTGGGCACAGAAAAGGGCCGCAGTTCGGAGACAAGGAACACAACTGGGCTTTCCTCTGGAACGGGCGGTCTTATCCTGGTTTGGTTTTCGAGGTTTTAGTTGGCAGAGCTTGAGTAATGTTCTATTTACAAAAGTGTCAAAGGGTCCGGTTCCGGATGTTGTAGTGGTGCACGGTGGGGGGAATGACCTAGGGCTGATTCCGCAACGGGAACTGTTGCGGCGAATGAAGAGGGACATGGATCGGCTACGGGAGCTGGTCCCTGACGTGGTGGTGGTGTGGTCCGAGATGGTGCCTCGGTTTACATGGCGGCACGCCAGGGACCCTGCTGCGGTGGCACGATGCAGGGGGAAGGTTAATAGAGCTATGGCAGTATTTGTTAAGCGGATGGGGGGAGTAGTGGTGAGGCATCGGGAACTGGAGGGCATGTTGCCAGGTTATTATAGGAGGGATGGAGTACACCTGTCAGAGGTGGGGTGTGACTTGCTGAACTTGGGGTTCCAGGAGGGCATAGCCCGAGCCCTGTTTCAGTGTGGTGGGGGTCGCACATGGTCTTAAGGGGTCAAGACAAGTGCTGTGGCGGAACAGGGCGTGGTTAAGTTGGAAGTTATCAGGAATTGGAACTGTACAGGCCAGGGCCTAGGCTGAAGTAGGCCAGACGGTGTCATGGTTGGTAGGTTCTAGCTCTTCGGTGGCGACGAACCTGGGGGTGTAGGGGTGTCTGGGTACACCCCTACAGTTATCATTATGATATGGGGCCTCGTTGGTAGGCCGGATGTTTACAAGTTTATTGGTAATTGATGTTAATTATTGTTCATGTGGTAGGGTCATTGTCAGGGGATTGTGCGGGGGGATGATAAATAATGTCATTTATGACAATGACCCTAAATATGTTAATTTATTCATATTAATAAAGCTGTGGACGTTATACTCCAACAGTATTAAACGTGTCCGTGTATTATTAAAGTTAAAGTTTATAGCACATGCCGAACAACGACAGTGCAAATGTCATGTGTGAGAAATGTGTGTGGTTGTTATGATGCCCAGAGTGTTTCTTTAAGTTTCCATTTCCAAGCAAATTAAAGAACAACTGAATTACACAAAAATATCTGGATACTCAGTAAATCCATGTCATGGACCATAGAGTTATTGCACATGAGCCTTTGCATATTCAATTTCTTTACATTTAGGCTAATCTCAAATAGAAGCAAGAACACAGTATACTTAATTTAACTCTAAAATGGCTATTGGGTTTATTCACAAAGTCTCTGACATGCAATTGCTGGTAATATATTCAAAATGTCATCCTACAATTTTATAACATGACAGGAGGCTTCATATTTGCTTAAGTCTCTCTTTACTAGAACTCCACAGCAGCACATTAACATAGAGAGAAAAACAACCAATCAGAAAAAAGTAATGTAACCTTAAAGGCCCCCCCAACCAACCATTTCCTCTTTCTTTGCTGCTCCGCAACAATCACAGGTCAGAGTACCACTGCCTCCTGTTCTTATGGGGGTTGTGAGATTTGGTTTTTACTGTATTTTGTGTTTATATATATGCCTTTTGTGTATATATTGGGGGAGATTTAGTGTATATGGGGTGTTTAATTTTATGTGCATAGTCCTTTGTATGGAGTACAGATATTTTATTTCTGGTGTCTAGATATTGTCCCTTTAGTTTGTTTGCATATTGTAACAGAGTGTTGGGGATGGTGGTCAGGGGTGTATATCTGGCACCCAGAGTTTTGCACAGCCACTATCCTGACATGTGGGTAAGCACATGCAGCCCCAGGGAAAGTTAAGTTTAAATGTAGTTTTTTTTCCTCTGTTGTTATTTGGGTCCCTGGGGTGGAGTATTCGGAAGAGCAGGGTGGGCCGATTCTCCACCCACTGTCAGAGTGGTTGTGCATGAGACCAGCCCAGGTTTTCCATAGAGTTCTGGCTCACTGCCTAACGAGGTCATTAGCCTCACCTGTAGGGGCTGTGAGCAGCTATATAACTGCAGTTAAAGCAGGGTGAAGTGAGGGAAGTGTTTTGGAGGAGAAAGAAGGTGTTTTGTGGAGAAAGAAGATTTGCTGTTCATTGTATCCTGTTACTTCACAACAACAGAAAATAAACAGGCCAGAGGCCTTTTTGAAACTGGACTTTGTCTTGACCTGGTTTTCTTACCCTAGAGGGCTGTGCAGTTGCCAAAAGATCCTGGACAAACATACACAGGAAAGTAAGTTTGTCACAATATGTATATATCTTTTATTTTTCCTCTCTTTCTTTCTCTGCCTGGTTGTTACCGGGCTCTATCCCTTTTCTTCCCTCCTTGAGCCCATCTGTGGGAGACGGCCATTTAGCCGCCTCCCTCGATCGACCACTCACCAGGGCCGCGGAGAACGTCTCTGTAACGGAACGCCTGGCACCTCAACTGGGTACCTTCCACTGACAGATGCTCCTAGTGCTCACCGAGGGCTTCAAGCACTCCACCAGACACCATAACCACTGCAGACCCCACGAACAGCCGCAGCTTGGTTGGGGTCTCGCCGTCCTCCACCCACTCTGGACCCAAGACCGGGCTTCAGCTTCCAGTGGGTGAACCTCTCCTAAATCCAGAGAGCAGGAACCAGGAACAAGAACAAGCTCTTACAAGAGCTTACTCTGGGGAGTATTGTGATATAGCAATCCCCAGAGTGTAGGCAATTCTCCAATCCCCCAAACATGAGCCAAGACTTCATGAAGGGGTAAGCAGGTCTGTTTAATGCACACTAAAGGACTTTCTTTTATACAGGTTTTCAGACCAGAAGCACTCCCACTGGACCTGGTGGTAAACTGTGACAAAAGGGACACAAACCAATGGGAACACTAATTAACAAAATAACATTCCAACATACATGGTAAAATCCCTCCCCTCTATCCTGGCGATAATTGGCTTAAGGAACTGCCGTAAACTCAATTATCTCCAGGTACAGAAAATATCTCCATTTTACACTAACAGTAAAATACATAAAAATACATAATTCCTATTATGTTACACAGAACCCCCACATTTAACCTATCCCCAGATAGCTCGGATCTGAGCGCCCAATATAGGTGAACAGCGCTCAGATAAATGAACAGAGTAAATTTGCCATGGGGTTAAAGTTTTGCAAGGGCTGATGAGAAATTGAGGAGGGACAAAGCAGCCAGTTTAAACTGGTCTGGCAGTGTCCCTGGGACAACAATGCTATAGGTATTAAAGGGGGAGGGGAAGAGGCACATTCTCCCATGGAATCAAAGAGGCATAAACAGTCTTTTAAAAGCCAATAAGCCCAAATAGTCTTTTTAAATGGCAATACACCGCAAGGACCATAGTCACAGGGCAAGAGGCTGGCAAGCAGGCCTCTCCAAAAGTCAGTGGCAAAGGGTAGTTTGTCACAGTCTCCAGCAGCCCCACGTGGTGGGTCCCACGGCAGTTGGTATCGCGCCGCTGCTCGGATCCAACGCATGTTTGTTATTTTCCCTCTTCATACGATTCTGGTGGGATTCCACTTTCAGGGCTACGTACGGGTTACATAGTTACATAGGTGAAAAGAGACTTGCGTCCATCAAGTTCAGCCTTCCTGCCTGGTTTCATCCGTACGTTTCTTGCATGCTGCAATTGTTTACCGGTCCCCCTTGGGTATCCCCTCCCCCCCCCCACCACCACTGGGCCACGGGAAATCAATCTTTTGGCCTTGCGACCCGCGGGCGGTGGGGGAGAGAGGAGCTGGGGACTGCCACGTGGGGACGACACTTCCCTTCCTCCCTAGGTGCTCCTGCTCCAGTCGGGGGTTTGGGGTTTCCCGTGCCAGGGGAGGGGGGAATTCTGTTTCTCCCAGGTCACAGAGTATCCGAGCTTGTGGGGAATCCCCTGGTGGCCGAGCAACGCTACAGGGGATTCATGCTCCGGTATACTCTAGCTATACTGATGAGATGCTACCCCTAGCTTTACAGTGCCACTCTTGTACCTTTTCTACATTTTGTACCTTGATTTGATTTCACATTTCATCTTTTAATTTCTGTCATATATACTTCATTTCGTCGGTAATACATGTAACTTACATCCTTTTTCAACTATACCCCCTAAGGATTATGCCCTAATAACTATATTCACGTGTTTGTCCTTTTATGTCTGTTTTTGAGACCAACTACCAGACGGGATCCCGAGACGGGGGGTTGCAGGCTGCCCTGTCTTAGCACAATTTTTGACTGATGGATGTACTGGACCATGCCTGGAAGGCTTAGGATAGAGAACGAAGTTACTCTCAGGGTGAGTCCCAAGTCCCAGTTTCATATGGGGACTAGGCAGGACGCTCTATTTGCTGGTTTGGCTTTATTTACACGACGCCACAGCCCTCGTACACATGTACCCCAGGCTATTGGACTTAAGATAAAGGGATCTGAGCCCTTTGGAGTTCCCTCACGGTATTACTCATGTACGTAAACCCGTTAGATGCACGGAATTATACACGGTCCTCAAGGAATTTCTGAGGACCGCAGGGTCCATCCCTGGTGAGGTGGGCTCAACCTTTCTACCTGGTGAGATAAGTATCTGGTGCACCATTCATTTGGGTGATAATGCAGCCCTGGACGTCGGGTTGGAGAAATTTAGGGCATTCAGGAACACCAGAGTTATCTGAAGATACCTTGTTTGTTTTTCCACGCGTTTGGACCCGGTCACGGCGCTTCTCTGATATAGGATGTTTCACTGTACGTTCTACCTGAACGGGCTGCTGCACCCTCTGTGAGGTGCCTCCCAGGCCGAAACGTCAGGCGCACTCTCCGTTTCCCTTGTTCGAGTCCCTGGATTTCGTGTTCATCCAGGGGAAATCGACCCCCTCTACATCACAAGGAGTAGAGTTCGGGAGGTCGGATTGGACGCAAGGGGGTGCCTCCTACGCGTTCCCCTGCCACGACCTCAAACGTTGGGAAAGGCTATCGTGGAGGACTCGGCGTTAAGACCGGAGTCCACGGAGGAGGTTGAACACGTATGGTGGACCTCCTCTCCGTACCGATTATGGGACATACCCGGACAGTTTCGCTACAGGGCCACACAGCGCCTGAATATTCACTTCTTCCTCACAGGCCTTTCGGCGTCTGAGTAATTCCCTAGCTGGAGATGGTTTGGAATTCAACATCATCTGACTGGAATGGCTTGCGGGATCCTTCGTGAGTCGGATTTTGGCATTTCCGATCGCTGCATCCTCCTCCGGATGAGCTAGGCAGCGGAGGTGCATGGCTTCATGCGCCTGGGAGGAGCCCACCTGTGGATGACCTATCAGGTCCCAACCAGCTTCAGCTGGCTAACGGATCAGTTCGCTCAGTGATGGACGCTTCCCGCCAGGGGTGTTCGTCACGGAGACGCTGACGAGTTTCCTCCCTTTGTTTTGGTCCCAGGGCCTTACTGCAGGTTTTCTCTGTCTGCTGGTACTTTGGTATTACGGTCTCCGCTATGGCAGAGTCGAACCTAGTTTCCTGGTTGCCCTGGACCTGTCCCATCTGGACCACGGGGTCTGGAAGACGTTTGTCTGCATGGCGACCCTGGTGTAGTTGGGCCTGGAACGGATTACCGATCCTTTTGCGGACCCTGTTACAGTGTTCGAGAATTTTTTGTCACATCTGTTGACCGGGGACTGTCGTATCATTTAGATTTGGTAGCTCAAATGACGTTTTTTGACGGTCCACACACTACTTAGAATTTCCCCTTTGAGCAGGACTTGCGGGTTGTAGGGGTATGAGTCTTTTGCGATTCCTGAGGACGGGTATTAATCCCCCAGGGGGTACACGCGTTTTTTTGTCTGTTTTTTTCCCATTCATCGACTTTGAATTAATTTTCCTTTTATTATGTCTTTTTTTTTCGTTCGGATGGGTTTTGGATGTTCGGGCCTTAGTTATCGAAGCCCTGCTTTCTTTCTCTGCGGATAAGGTCACTGGCCGGGTGTCTATATGCTCTAGCCGGACCCAATGGTTATATTCTTATCTTGGTTGCGCACCCCACCTTTATGCTGCGTACGACGATTCCGTTTTGTTTGGACGATTCTTTCTTTTTTCGCCCTTCGCGTCTCGCTCAGGTGTTGTTTTGTGTCAGAGCTCACGTTACAGTCTCGTTCCCTTCTTTGGCATGAGGGTTCTTTGGTTGTTGACATTGGCGGGGCGTATATGTCTTTCGGTTCACTTCAGTTAGAGACACGGCGACATCAGGTGCCGACATGGTGGGCGCATCTCTCCAAGACATCGCACACCTTCCTGTTGGTTCCAAGGAGTTATCTTCACAAAAGTTTAGGTTAGTACGGCGGATTGTGTTCTTTGGTTTTGCTGTCTGAGCCTTAAAACAGCAAATATGAAGTATCCTGTCATGTTATAAAACTGTAGATTATACTAGCTTTAGTGTAACTATAATCTTAATTTTATTAATGACAGGAGGCGAATATTTCCCTCCCAGTGTTCACCCTTGTTTGTTTAATTGACCTCCTCTAGTTGATAGTCTGTTTCCAGGTCTGTGTTTAGGTAGGTCAATTTTTTGCCTTCCTGAGGGAAGTCATGGTATGTTTTTGGTAATATTGTACTGTTATTGATTATGGGTATTCATGTTTTCACAGTACGTTTAATTCAATGTTGTACTGTCTGTAATTGATGGGTATTCGTGCTTTCACAGTACATTTCATTCACTAATCGGTGTTTTTGACTCTGTTTATCTCGTTTCAGTTTAATGGTTCGTTTACGGATCCAGGTTTAAGTTTTCTTCAGGATAAAGTTCAAGGTTCCTATACTGTTCCATGTTCGTTTTGAGTTGGATGGCAGTCATCAGCTGAATTCGTTTGAGTTCTTGGAATGCTACTTTTGAGTTTTTTTGTTTATGTCCTTTTTTTTGGTCGCAGCTTGAAAGAGGAAATAGTTGGTTGGGAGGGGCCTTTTATGGTTTCATTACTTTTTTCTGGTTGTTTATCTCTATGTTAATGTGCTGCTGTGGAGTTCTAGTAAAGAGAGACTTAAGCAAATATTCGCCTCCTGTCATTAATACAATTAAGATTATAGTTACACTAAAGCTAGTATAATCTACAATTGCCACCATTTACAAGTTTATTCACTAAGGTAAGACTTGGCGGGAATTAAAAATGAACTACAAGTGAATTTCAAAATATAGGACAAACAAGCTAAATTAGAGAAAATGTCCAAGCCAATTATGTTTTCAGTTTGGCTATTTTGGCCCTAAATGAACACTGTAGGCACCGGTATGATCCCTGTATGATTGGTAATGCCAGGAGGAAGTGAGTACAGATCACATCCTCACAGCTAGCAGTGGAGAGCCTGCGCAGGACTGATAGGAATCACATGCGTGGGGAGAAGGAAGGAGTGAGCCAGCAACTGGATCTCAAGCAGCTACTCTCCTGCACACAAAAGGTATGCTAACAGGATGGTGACTGCAAATATAAACATTATGACACATTTGTGTATGTATCAGTGGGTGTGTTTACTTGTGACTAGGTGTGTATCTGAATCAGAGTATGTATATTTGTCAGCCTGTGTATTTGTGTGTCAGGATGCATGTATGTGTATCTGTTTCACGGTATGTATAAATGTCAGTGTGTGTATCTGTGCCAGGGTATGTGTGTGTCAGTGTGTATCTGTGTCAGGCTGTGTGTACCTGCATATTTCAGTGTGTGTCTGAATGTTTGTGTGTTTTTTATGTTTGTATCTGTGTGTGTGTTAATGTGAATTTATATCTGTGTAAGTATGTTTGATTGCTGGGATGTACTGCCACATACAGATGCAAACACACCCCTGCAATCAAACTCCAAAATTACATACAAATACACACCTTCACTAAAACACCAATACTGCACACAAATGTACTCCCACATTTAAAAATAGTTTAAAAATAAGAAACCACTCCAGTCTGGAGTTGCTTTTGATTCATATTGTATCAGCTGTTCCACCTGTTAAAGCAGTTAACAGGTGGATAACTAACAAACGCACGACCAAGAGAGGTGCCTTAGTATGTACAGCTTTAAAACACCTTATTCCATCTAAAAAAAATAACAACATCCATTGTTCTACAATAATCTGATTAACTCACCTGGCATGCATCTTTGTAACATTCAAAATATCCAGCACAAAACATGTTTTCAGAGACCTCAAATCCATACACCTCGGGGCTGCTGCACTTGCTATCAGGGACAAGTGGAATTGAAACTTCTTGAAGAACATGTGAATAATCAGTTGAATCTGAAAGAAATGATTAAAATAGCAGAGTTTGACTAGGCTATTTCTGCGGAATTGTCTCTGGTGGCTGTACGAATGACTGCCACAATCCCTGAAATGTAAACGTAAGTCACACAAAGAGTGAGGTGCTGCTGCCCATGCCCCAAACTAAGATTTTCTTTAATGTAAATATTTTTTAGTAGTGGCATGGTGTTGAATAACTGATTTTCAGGTTTCTGTAAAAAAAAAAAAAAACAACTCATATGACCAGAAAAGTGTTTATTTTTTTTTGGTTTTTTTTAAATGCAACAAGTCTGTTACTGTTAGCAGACTATTTAGTCTAAATTCTGGAATATGGTTTTAATTCACCACAGTTCTGTTTGTAGTGATTAAACTGTAATTTTTAAAGGAACAGTCAAGCACATAACCGGTACAGTGTGGGGCTTAGCTTCAGAGAGCTAATGGAAGCTCCAAGGTGGAGCATTCTGCTGTCCTGGTGTCCATAGAGAGGCATGGACTAGAACCCAGCAAAACCCAGATAAAATGTCAAACCATTCTAAAACAATGCGACTACATACATTGAGGGTGCGCCACAGCACCTCTGTCACCATAACCACTACCGTGCACAAGAAAACATGGATTTCTAATAGGCAAACAAAGCAGCATTTCAAAGCAAAGTGCACATTAACAGTAAAATGTTGTTATGGTGGAGCGAATTTATGGGATACGTACAGGTTGTTGTAATCACTCTTATATGCGGGGATAAATTCTCAAGGACAAAATATAGAGAATAATAATAGTGCTGACGAATTTTAAATAAGGAGAAGCTTGCTTAATTGTTAGTAGAGTCGGGGAAACGCCTCAATATTTTAGCCTTTTGTAGGTAGACCCCTTTCCCTTCCTTGTGAATTTACTTGCTTGTATTGTGATGGTTTTATGTAAGAGAAGGACATTTACAGATAGTGTAATATATAAGAACACGGATATAGAGTATTTTTTTTAAAACAATATATCCCACACATTTAAAAGGTAATTTTTCTGTAGACTCTATTTGCTGGACCAGCATCTCTTTTAGGGCCGATGCCACCCCTTAAAATCACCAGAGAGATTCTCAGTATGGTGGATACTTGCAGCTTTAGTTTGAACAATATACGTTAAAAGTAAATTTGTAAAAATAACTTTAGTTGGCAAACAATAATAAAACAATGTAAAAACAATTGGGTAAGGTAATTATTAATATCAAAAGGGGCTTATCTTCCGAAACGCGTTTCACCCTTGGGGCTTCCTCAGCCAGTGATGATACTCCTGGAATGTTTTCCTATTGAAACCCATATTTATTATATGATAATCATTAATGTCCGGTTTCTCTCTTGAGTGTGCTACACTCCTCAATCAGTCTTAATTAACCTATTTATATTGTAATTTAGTGGCCGCAGTTCTTCCCAGCTGCCACGGCTGCCATCTTGTGAGTTTACATTTAAGATAACCCACTAAGCGCTCCACCATAACAACACATATATTTTGGATTTTTAAAGTTATTAAAAGGTTAACTTGAGGGTGTATGGGCAGCTAATAAAAGTCACCCCCAAAAAATTTAAGAGCCTTTTAACACATATTTTAATAGTCACCATTAATAGTAAAATATCTTTCATTTGAGCAGGAGAAAAAGATTATTCAATTCACTACTAAGAGCCTCCAGGAAATGGGCATACTTATTCGGATAGATAAATGTAAAAGGTGTAGCAATAGTCCTGTGTATCATGATCTTTATGTTCCATCATACACACTTACCTTCACTCATGCGCCCCCATCCAGCTATATCGCAGGCATAACCATCTTCAAAAGTAATGCTTGGGTCAGGGAGGCATATTGGCTGGACAAATTGAGTTTTCCTTGCACAAATATTGTTTACCTTCTTCAGCCTTATTAGAACTATGACAAGAATGAGGAAATGATAGCAGATTAATTAACACGTTGCATTAGAAGCACAACACAATTGCAGATTTTATTAAGCGGGTCAGACAGACATTAAGCTTAACCTAAAACAAGACACATCTTAGGAGCTTCTCACTTGAATGTCTAAAGTGCGTAGCTCAGCTGGTAAATGTTTCATCCATAGAAGTATTGAGGTTACAAGTTTTATCGGAGGTAATTTCCTCTCATCCATTTATCCTTCCAAGGTCAAAAAATGGCAATATCCACATCTATTAATCAATTGCTGTTGAGATTAATTTCCAGTATCATAAAGATGTGTGGCCAGATGGGCTCCTTGTGTTATGTGTTGTGGTCATGCCCCATATTAATATCTTTTTGGGATTCCATTCATTATTTAGTTAAGTCTATCGATGATTCCATAATAGTCTTTGAACTTTGCTTATTTAAGAAAATTCCAGACAATTTGACTAAATAGATTTATAGAAACATAGAATGTGACGGCGGTTAAGAATCATTTGGCCCATCTAGTCTGCCCAATTTTCTAAATACTTTCATTATTAGTCCCTGGTCTTATCTTATAGCTAGGATAGCCTTATGCCTATTCCACGCATGCTTAAACTCCTTTACTGTGTTAACCTCTACCACTTCAGCTGGAAGGCTATTCCATGCATCCACTACCCTCTCAGTAGATTAATACTTCCTGATAATATTTTTAAACCTTTTCCCCTCTAATTAAGACTATGTCCTCTTGTGGTAGTTTTTCTTCTTTTAAATATAGTCCCCTCCTTTACTGTGTTGACGCCCTTTATGTATTTAAATGTTTCTATCATCCCCCTGTCTCGTCTTTCCTCCACGCTTTACTTGTTAAAATCCTTTAACCTTTCCTTGTAAGTTTTATCCTGCAATCAGGGCCGGTGCAAGGATTTCTGACACCCTAGGCAAATATCCATTTTGCCGCCCCCTCATGTCACTCACTGATAGACACACACTGGCAGACACACACACTCACTGACATACACTCGCTCACTCACACACACACACACACAGAAACTTACTAACAGACATACACTCACTCATTGACAGATACACACACACACACAGACACTTACTGACAGACATACACTCACTCACTGACACATAAACACTCACTCACTGACAGACACACAAACACACACACAGACACTCACTGACATACATACATACATACACTCACTCACTGACAGACATTCACTCACTGACAGACACACACACACACACACTGACAGTCAAACACTCACACACTCACTGACACGCACACACAGGCAGACACTCACTGACATACATACTCACTCACTGACAGACACACACACACACACACACACACAGGCAGACACTCACTGACACACACACACTCACTGACAGTCAAACACTCACATCAAACACTCCTCACTCCTGCCGCCCGCTGTTTAGTATGCCGGGGCCAGAATGACGTCATATTCCGGCTCCCTCACCACCTGAACAGCCTCCCTCACCACCTGGCTTTTCCGTCCCCCGCCCCTCCGGACAGTCACTGGCATTTGTTAGCAGAGCAGGCACCTGCCATCAAGGTTAGCAGGTGCCTGCTCTGCCTTACCTACCACAGCTTCTGGGGCACCTTGAGGTGGCCGGATGGCCACCTCCTGGCCTCCCTGTGACAGGGCTTCTCTCAGCGCCCCCACCTCTGGGCGCCTTGAGGATTGGCCAGGCGCTGGGGTCGGCTCAAGAGCTTCTCGCCCAGCACTGTGGCCCCAGACAGGGGCAGGCAGCCCACCAGGAAACATCCCGGTGAGCTCCCCCAGTAGGTCAGCGCCATAGGCGAATGCCTAGTTCGCCTAACAGTTGCACCGGCCCTGCCTGCAATCCATGAGCCAGTTTAGAATACAAACGTATTATGTTAGGACATATTATAATCTTAGCCACTATAGTTACTCCACTTCACTGGAGATCACCTGATATCAAAGAAGTGGTTAATTTGCTGTTTGAAACTACGAGGTGTGAACTTGCTTTTCAAATCACCATCTGATACGATTAGTTATTTACGACACAAATTGATAATTTTGGAAAAGGATATTAAACAGAGGTATAATTTACACCCATGATCCCACTTGACCGGTTACATATATTTAAGGTATCATAAACATTTACAACATTTTGCACCATAATAATTTACTTAAGATATGTTATTATACATACATTTCCACATGAATATTTTGTATCATTATTCCCCACTTTTATTTTTTTGTTTATATAATATTGTGTGGCGAAACTAACCTCGCTACTGGGTCCTGGAGAAGTCTGTGTTACAAAACGCCTTTTGTCCCTATTTTCTGTTATGACAAATTGCCCTGCTTCCCTGGGTTATGGAGAAGTCTGATTGTCAGCCTCCTGCCTCATGACTATGGCCCCTCTCATCAGCCCATGCTAAACTTAAACCCCATGGCGATTTGACTGTGTTTGTGGGATCTGAGCGCTGTTTGGATTTATTGAGCGCTCAGATCCAAGCCATCTGGGATAGGTTATATGTGGGGGTTCTGTTCAGAATGATAGGAGTTATGTATTTTTGCTGTTGTTGTGAATAGAGATATTTTCTGTACCTGGAGATAGTTGGCTTACCACACCCAGTTAAGCCAATTATCTCGCACAGCCTAACTCTGTGGAACTGGTTTGGGCTGGAAAGCCATGCTTGCAGTTGGTCACAAAGGACTTCGACCTAACTTTAAAACCACTGGAGGGAATTGTCTGATTTTTGAGTATGTTTGTATTTGGAGTATGCTGATTCTGAAAATGTAAGTGTAAATTATGTGAATGTGATGTATACTTTTAAAGTTATGAATATTGTGTAAAACTGTGTATTTTCCTGCCTGGGATAATTACGTTAGCCCATTGTGTTCAGTGTATATATATCACAGGCAGAGGGGAGGATTTTGCTGGAATGAATGGGAGTGTTTTACTGTATATTACGTGTTTGATTGGATGTTCCACAAAACCCTGTGGGTGGTACTAATGTGTAAGAATGTGTATATAAGAACAATAAAAACACAGCTCAGACTGTTCCTGTTTGACCCTCAACATAGAGCCTTGTCTCATGATTGGCGGATACGACTGCATCTACACTGGGGGATTGCTATACTCTGTATACTCCCCTAGGTATAATCACTAAGCTCTTTTAAGAGCTTGTTCCAGCTTCGCTCTCTGCAGGAGAGGTTCGGTCTGCAGTGCTTATGGTGTCTGGAGTAGCGTGTGACGAAGTGCCCTTCGCCACTTGTGCCTGGAGAGGACTGCTTGCCCGCCTCTTGCCCTGTGACTATGGCCCCTGGGATGTATTGCCCTTTAAAGACATGATTTGGGCATAATGGATTTGTGTTGTGCTGCTGCTGGCCCTTTTAGAACCATCTGGGGACATACTGTGGAGTTACTGGGTGGCCACCATTTCCTGTATCAGAAGCACATGGTGAGAACAATGGATGGCGGCCATTTTAACTCACAGACACTGTTTGGACTTTTCAACACGGTGCCATCTCGCCAGTATTTGGTGCACAGGGACATCGTGCAGTGGTTTTGGACTATACAGCAGGGGACACATTATATAGTGATTGTTTTTCATTTAGCCTGTATATGTTCTGCAGAATCTGCATTAAACTGTATTTTCCAAAGTACTGAACGGATCTGGGTGAATTTTGGATATGTGGTTCACCCAGATCCCCGGTTCCAAGGATATACTTTTTATGGGGTTATTGCATGTTTTGGGGTCCCTGTGATGTGTTTTATGAAACTGTATTATTTCTGGCCAGCAGATAATTGAGCTTTGTGTATTGTAGAAATTCAATTATCTAGCCTGGCCCAGAGGAGGAGTTTTGTGTTGCATAAATTGTGAGTTCTGTGTGCCAGTAAATCAGTCTTGTTCCAGCATTAAGCCTTGGCTCATGTTTGGGGGAAGGGATACCTAAACTCTGGGGATTGCTATAATCACTTACTCCCCAGAGGAAGCTCTTGCAATAGCTTGATTTGTTCCTGTTCCTGCTCTCTGGGGAAAGAGAGGTTCACCCACTGGAAGCTGGATCCTGGCCTTGGGTCCAGGGTGGGTGGAAACAGCAGAGAGAGTTGCATCGCTGGAAGTGGGGTCTGCAGTGCTGATGGTGTCGGTTGGAGTGCTTGGAGTCCTCAGCGAGCACTAGGAGCATCGATTGGCGCAGGTACTCAGTCGGAGTGCCAGCGTTCCGTCACATAGCGCTTGGAGCCCTCGGGAAGCACTAGGAGCATCCATCAACGGAGGTACTTGGTCTGATTCCTAGGAGCTCCGTTACATATTGTAACATTTTTTATGTGTCATTATTAGTGATGACCCGAACGGTTCGCGAACGGTTCGCCGAACGGTTCGCCACGGACTAATCATTCCAGCCAAACAGCAGCAGACCCTCCCTCCCAGACCCTCCCAGACCCTGCCACCTCCTGGACAGCTCACTAAGAATGCAGCTTCAAAATGGATGCTGTCCAGGAGGTGGGAGGTTCAGGGAGGGAGGGTCTGCTGCTGATTGGCTGGAATGATGAGTCCGCGGGGAACTGTTTGGTGACCCGTTTGCAGCGAACCGTTCGCAAACCGTTCGGGACATCACTAGTCATTATTATTGTTCATTATAGTGCTAAAAATGTAAAAACTCTTCACTTAAAATTATTTGAACGATCTTTGAGTCTGTTTGGGTAGAAAAGTGCTATTTATGCATATTTCCATATATAAAACATTATATAATATAAATTTGGTTACAGAGTCCTTTATTCCTTAATAGTGATGTCCCGAACGGTTCGCCGAACGGTTCGCCGAACGGTTTACTGCGGACGACGAACATATGACCCTGTACCTCACAGTCAGCAGACACATTCCAGCCAATCAGCAGCAGACCCTCCCTCCCAGACCCTCCCACCTCCTGGACAGCATCCATTTTGAAGCTGCATTCTTAGTGAGCTGTCCAGGAGGTGGGAGGATCTAGGAGGGAGGGTCTGCTGCTGATTGGCTGGAATGTGTCTGCTGACTGTGAGGTACAGGGTCATATGTTCGCCGTCCGTGGCGAACCGTTCGGCGAACCATTCGGGACATCACTATTCCTTAACATTGCAGAATTGTTGATTGTATTCAATGTGTTGTGCTTGTGGCAAATTAGATTAAATCAGATTAAAAATGTGCACCCTGAGGTGTTGCAAAAAATACATTGGGCTTTACACCATAGTTCATCTTTAATTTTACATATTGAATCTCCAATTTCCATATGCCACTTTTAATTACATATTTAATCCCATTAAGCAACATTTAATGATCTTTTTCTAATAATTTTTATAGTTGACGCCTTGTTTCAATATTACATCCCACATACCAATACAGTTCCTTACATGGAATTTTTAGCCCATAATCCAGGTGTACCTAAAAGGGAGATCCCTAGATGTTGTAAAACTACAACTCCCATCATGCTTTGCATCCCTTTAGAATGACAAAGCATCATGGAAGCTGTAGTTTTAAAATATCAACGGATCTACTTATTGGGCACCCGTGCATTAATCTCTTATATGCCATCACATTACATGTGAAAATATTTCGAGTCTGCTGCCTTAATATTACCCCAGGTAATCTCTATGTTATATGCCATAGTATATATTGTGATATACAGCAAAAAAAAAAATGTATATTGTGATATATTTATATATAAATATATATTTACCAATATCATGATCAGTGGGCTTAAACGCTGAATAATCATCATGAAAAATATATCTATCTATCTGAAATGCCTGTGTGTCATCTGTGGTTTCATTGAAGAAATGTTGGCCAAGAACAACTTTGATCATAGTCTTCAGAGGGCTGTGAAGTAAAAAAAACAACAACAAAAAAATTACTAATCCAAAAGTCAAGTTGGTAATGGACAAACAGTACCATTTGATCTATTTACTAAAGACGGGCAATCCGGAAGCATTAACCACAATTTTAATGTTGCAATTACTTTGGTTGTTAATGTTATTATGTTTGGTATCAGGACTGTGAATATATATTAAAATATTCTCTATAGTTATTTTTGATAATCTATAAAGGCAAGGTTCAATTTACTGTGATAGCATTGGGCTTCTTTAGTAGGGAAGAATTGCTTGATTTAGTGGCAAAGCTATAGTAGGTATCCATCAAACAGTGGGTCTACCGGAAGCACATGGTACAAATAAATTAATTAATAAGGTGACCCACAATGGCGCTCAAAATTAAAACAAAAAAACTAACAAATGATGACCAAACAATTATTAAGTGTATCATGATACACTGGGTATAATATTCTGTAAATCTGAAAACGAAATATAACAAACAGATGGTGTATTAACATTAAAAAATGTTTCCCCAAACAATAACCCTTAATGGCTAAACAAGGAAGGAGTACTCACGCAGCTGAGCACCAGAAGAATCAAACATTTGAGACTGTTGGATCCAGGGAAATACACAAGGAAGATGTCAGGATTACTGTAGATGCCCAACACACAGAACTTAAGTAGAAAACAAGAAAATACCTAAGACGTATTACCGGGCCTTAGAATGGCCGGATTTAACGTAAAAAGGCAAAAAGACACAAGATAGGGAAAAGCCAAGACAAAGGTGTAACGCAAACGATAAACAAGCCAAATGTCAAGGAATGGAGATATCAGAATAGTCAGGAGCCAAGCCAAAAGTCAAGGAATACAGAGATCGGATAGTCAATAAGAATGCCAAGGTCAGATACACAAGAAATCAATACAAGGAACGTGCTCTCGGATAACCAACTGTAAACCACAACAGGGCACGGAGAAATGAACAAACTAGGTTTATATAGCTAAAAGCTTTACCTGATAGGCTTTAGGGAAACATGTGATCAAGCTTATGTGTGTGACATACCCATATTAAATTAATTGATCTGGGCCTTTAAGGGTCAAACAGGAAACCCTTTATTATTCACAGCAGCAGCGGGTGGCGCCCTTAATGATACAGAGCCGGTTGCTGAGAGAGGAGAGATCACCTCTGGTGAGTGTTTAGCAGTATTCCCCTTAGTTTGTGAGAATACCGCCGTGGCGGCTTGACAGAAAACAGGATTGCCAGAAATGCAGATTCAAATGCTTTATTTCACATAAAATACCATTAAAATCACCTAACATGGGCGAGGCTAGCTGAGCAGCTGAGCAGACACATAGCCACGAAGCTCTGGGACAGATCTGCGATAATAGGCTTTTACTTACAATTTACAACCTCCACAGGTCAAAATCCTAATCACCCTACAACAGAGACCATCATGGGCCGTAAGAACGAGAAACTTTGCCCTCCAGAGACCCCAAAGCTACCAGATATTCAGCTCTCTTTTGAAAGGCCTGCGACTGCATCTCCCTCCAAGACGGCGCCTGCAGCGCAAAGTGAGGAGGAGGCCTCGGAGGCATCCCAGGACAAAGGGGAACTGCCTACCTCACCAGAACCAAGAGATGTCTACCCTGATTCTGAATCAGACAAAAGGTGTCATAAACCACCTCCTGCAAGAAATAAGAAAAGTCTAGAAATTGTACCTCTGAGAGGCACAATTGGAGATTGGAGACCTCCACCAGAAAATCACTGAGGTGAAAACTACGGAGCAAACCCATGAGAAACAGCTGCACACCACTAAGAACCATGCTGATAGCCTTGCCCAGTAGGTACAGACGCTCACCCGCTCATTGAACACGTTGGAATCCTGAGATATGTGTGAGTGGGGTAGAGGACAAAATTGGAGGGGATGCCCTACTGTCCTTTGTCCAGTGTCTAGTGGCTTCCATGGGCCTTAAAGGAACTGACCCCAACGGGATGATACTATCAGCGTTCAAAGTCTGAAAAGCACCAACCTCCCCATAAGGAGCAGCCAGGGACACAATAGCAGTCACCAGAGACATAGAGGTTCGATCAGCTACCATGACAAAATCCAGAGAGTCTGGCATGATCCAGCTTGAGGGCTGCTCAGCAACTAGGTATGGAGATGTGCCATTTGCAGTGCTAATGGCAAAGAGGCAACTGGCCCCAATAGCCAAGTAAATGAGAAAGTAGCAATCCGTTTATGGATCTCTGATTGTCCCACAGGGAAGCAAGACACTCAGTCTGTCCTCATCAGAAGACCCAACATCCTTTCTTCAGAGCCTGCAGTTGCCGGTCACAAGCCCAGAGGGCTTAATGGTGCCAGACAGGCTAAATTGAAAACCTCCACAAGATATTGGGCTACTATGCCACTCATTTTTAAGTTTAAGTTGACCTATGTTTATCTATAGCTAGTTATTAGGGATGTGCATTGGCAAACAATTCGGTTTGGCACGAAATTCGGGGCTTCAGCAATTCGGGACATCGGCACTTTGGAACGTCAGGACTACAGGACTTCGGGACTGCAGGACTACAGGACTATGGCAATTCTCTAACCCTAGCTCCTAACCCTACCCCTATCCCTAACCCTACTCCTAACCCCAACCCTAACCCTACCTCTAACCCTACTCCCAACCCTACCCTTCACCCTACCCCCACCCCCAACCCTACCCCTATCCCTACCCCCAACCCGGACAAGCATCCAAATGTCCGAATTGTCAAAATCCGTCCGAATTTACATTCGGAATGAAACAAATTGCACATGTCTACTAGTTATATCGCATTGACAGTCCGTTGATATACTTACGTCAACCTAACTATAAAGATACCTACTAGTCCTATCTGCACAGCTCGAGAAATGTCTTCACAAAACCAAATGAGAAGCATTAAATGCATATGACCCATGTATGATGCAACATGCATTACCTTTATATTCTCTTGTTCCAGTTGTATTTTATGTGGAAAACCTCTAATAAATTACAAATTGAAAAAAACAAAAGCACACAACAGGGATAGAATGTTTTCTGTCAACAATTACAGTTTGTAGTAAGGCAACATGCCCGCTACAAAGCATCATGCGCAGATCTTCAACTTGGCATAAAATTGACTTTTCTCCTCAGTTTGTCAGACGCTGATGTCACCATGACTAGTTTTGCCCCTTTAAATAGGGCTTTCTCAAGTGTAACTTTGAGGTCCAGACTGCAATTGTTTTAGTTCATCTTCACTGGTACTTTGGAAAGGTTCCTATGTAGTAATTAGTGAACAATGAATTTGAAGCAGATAAAAGACATTATCAATCAAATCTTTAAGTTCCTGAGATTGGGATTCAAAGAAGGGTTTGAGAACGTTCACTGCTTGTGGAGGTATCAACACCCCATTTAGAGGGTGACACACATGCATGTTAAAAAAACATTTCTACTGAACTCTAGTACCGTTCACAGCAGCAAAACATTAATTAGATTTAGTTTTCTCCTAAATCTAAACCATAGAGATGGAAGAGACAGAGGTAGGATGCATGTTCGATGCCAATAAATGTTAAAAATGTGTTTCTTTGACAATTTCTGAAATTTTGAGGTGGTACATTTAGCTGCAGTCTTACCAAAAATGTATCCATGGTGATGGATGGGTAGAAAGGATCTGAGAATACACTCAGACCACAAGACCACAGTAGTCTCCATAGACTACGTTTCATGGTCTGTGAGAAGCAGCTTGGTTCTCTCAATCATCGCTAGCAATGGCTGGCAGAATTTTAAAAAACTTAACAGCACCTCCTTTTTCAAGTTTTAGCAACCTCAGACGTTATCATAAGAGAAAGTAGTCCCTATTCAAAAACAAATTTCAAATTGGCCAACATAGGGCAACTGAAAAAATTCTCCAAGCCAGCTACATTTTAATTTTGGCTAGAACTTGATATTCACTGAAAATTTACCCCCAAAAACCCCTGACCATTGCAATTTCTCCCCTTTCACTGACTATTGTAAGTGGCAGAAAAGGACAATATTTTTTTATAACAATGATTGACAGGAAATCAAAATAGAGGAACCCAGTTCCAGTATAGATGTGATGTGTGGCATTATGCTTTTAATTTTATTTCTCAGAGCTCACAAAATCATATTTTTTAAATACAGGGGCTAGTCAAACTAAATATTAAAAACCTCAATTAAGCAACATGACCACTTTGGAACTGGGGAGGACTAAAGGGAATCTAGGGATTAAATTAAACAATTGTATTAAAACCTTGGAGAACAACATACCTAGACCAATACGCCATATTACATATATCTCTACTCCTCAATGCTCTAGAGACTGTGCTTACCTATGTGCAAAGCAGTGTGCAGCAGAGACCACCCAGCAAGGGTGTATCAATGTCCCGGAGCAAAATGATTGTCCTATGTATATAGCTGCCATCCAGGGGTGTGACGCCGGCATTGCTGCTGTCCCTCCAACGACCCTACCTCTTGGGTAAACTCTCTTTTCATGTTTCTTCCCACATTTTGGCTTTGCAACGTCTTCTGCAAGGGTCACTATTCTTTTTGCCTTGTCATCTGTAAAATGTTTGCAAATTAATATCTAAGGAAAATCCACACAGTGAGAAGTATATGTATTCAGGTTAGATAGCATAAATCAAAACTATACTTTATATTTACAAAAACCGTATTAATCTGGCTCTGCAACTGGTTGCTCATCCATAGGGGACCCTTAGTGCACCCCTATGATTTGCAGCTGATGCAATGAACTCTCTTTAGACCAAGAATTAGCTAAAATCTATCAGGCAATTCTGGCCCTCTCATTGGAAGTGTTGGTGATGTCTCCCTAAACCCATTATATGAAAAAACACAATTATTTTCAAAAAGTTTCACTAGGAAAAGATTTGATGACAGTAGTTGAGGATGCATTGAAACAAATTCTAAACGGCCTAGAGGAGAACAAGAGAGAGAAAGAGTTAACTATAGGATATTTTGCCATTGAGGGCTTATGAGGACTTCTTGATTAGACCATTTTTGGGAAAATAATTAACACATCTAATGGAAGAACACACTGAAGCAAATGCCTTGTGAGATGCACAAATAAGCTAAAAATGAGCAGAAAGTTGGTTAGAGGATGGAATAAATTAGTATAGGATAGCATAGGATGGATTGGAAACCACCTGATCTCACAGTGCTGGTGGAAAAGTGACATTCTAGGTGTTCACTCAAAATCAATCCACGCACATCTGACTTTTCAAGATCTCGTAGTAATTGATCTGTAAATATATTGATAAAGGATGTACTTACAACATGAAGACACATCACATGCTTCCCATATTATGGAATTGTGTTTTAAAGTATAGCACCACGGAGGGGAATCCTCATCGTCATCCGGTACTCTACATATCAAAATGGCAAATTAGACACATGTTGTATTGGTAGGAATGCTATATTTAACTAACAAAGATAGAGCTAAAATCAAACACTGTGTATGTAATATTGACTACAATCAAAATATTAGCATTGCTTTGTGCACACACAATGTCAATACCAGTATGTTTAGTACACACACACACATACATACACACACACATACACACCAATAATACCAGTATGTTTAGTACACACACACATACATACATACACACCAATAATACCAGTATGTTAAGTACACACACACACACACACATACATACATACACACCAATAATACCAGTATGTTTAGTACACACACATACATACACACCAATAATACCAGTATGTTTAGTACACACACACACACACACACACACACATACACACACACACACACCAATAATACCAGTATGTTTAGTACACACACACACACACACACACACACATACATACACACCAATAATACCAGTATGTTTAGTACACACACACGTACATACACACCAATAATATCAGTATGTTTAGTACACACACACCAATAATACCAGTATGTTTAGTACACACACACATACACACACACCAATAATACCAGTATGTTTTGTACACACACACACACACACACACACACATACATACACACCAATAATACCAGTATGTTTAGTACACACACACACACACATACATACATACACACCAATAATACCAGTATGTTTAGTGCACAAACAATAATAATAATACAAATATGTTTAGTGTACACACAATAACAATATTAGTATGTTTAGTGCATGCATGCACATATAAGTTTTAAAATATGCATACTAGACGTCAGTACCAGTATGACTTGTGCATGTCCAGTATTGGCATCGGTATATTTGGTGTGTACATATTTGTTTCAGCTTATTTGCTGCATGCGCAGTACCAATGCCATTATGCTTTATGTATGTCCAATACTACTTTCACCTAGTTTGGTGCATCATGTGGTGCAGCTCTCTATTCATGTGAGTAAGGCAGCCAACACAGGCCTCGCAGCTGCCTGATATGGTATGAACAATGCCAAGGTAAAATGGCAACATATACAAATTATACACTACATGGGGAACACACACACATATATATATATATATATTAAAGGGTTACTCCAAGCACTATGACCACTTCAGTGATTTGAAGTGGTCATTTGAAGTGGTCCATGCAGAGCTTGTAGTAAGCACATCTAGTGGGCGTCTACGTGACTGCCATTAGAGTTTTTAACAGGCAGCATGTAAACACTACCCTTTTCCTGAAAAGGCAGTGTTAAGATTGAAAAGCCTTTAGGGATGTACTATACACACCAGAAAACTACATTAAAGGACCACTATAGGCACCCAGACCACTTCAGCTTAATGAAGTGGGTTGGGTGCCAGGTCCATCTAGGATTAACCCTTTCTGCTCTAAACATATTGCTATGTTTACAAATGGGTTAATCCAGCCTCTAGTGGCTGTCTCATTGACAGCCGCTAGAGGCGCTTCTCTACGCTTTCCTATGGACTGGCTGAATGCGCGCGCGGCTAGTGCCGCGCATGCGCATTCGGCCGATGACGGGGAAAGGAGGAAGAGAGTCCCCAGCACCGAGGAAGAGAGTCCCGGCGCTGGAGAAAGGTGAGTTTTTAACCCCTTCCTCTCCATTCAGCCCGGTGAGAGGGGGACCCTGAGGGTGGGGGCACCCTCAGGGCACTATAGTGCCAGGAGAACGAGTATTTTTTCCTGGCACTATAGTGGTCCTTTAAGCTGGTGACAATAGTGTCCCTTTAGATTTTGCAATCCCACTTAAGGATAGCAAATTAGGTGGCTATATAATAAACAGCTGAGAGATTAAAATTAAGGAGAAAAAAACCTTTTTCTTAATTTTGATCTCTCAGTTGTGTTTAGTAGATAGCTCCCAAGTTTAATGCTTGAGTAAACCTATAAAAGTAATTCCGGGTGACTGTGTTAAATGTGGAGCAATCACCATGGAAACCATTCTGGTTCTGAATTTATCACATACTAAACAGGGAAAAACGTTATTTAAATGCAATACTTATACTTGAGGTATAAAAAAATATTTCCATCAATCTTTCTAATCCCTTTATTTTGGGGTTAATAAGAAGTTTTTGAATAAGTGCATGTAGCCAGGGAAGGGCGCTGTGAAGATTTTTGCACACAAGGCACCTAAAGACCTAAGGCCGGTCTTGTATACACCACACAATTCATCCACTATACAAAAAACAATAAACCCCTCTGTACTCACACTTTACTACTGTACATGCACCCTGCATAACCTATACACATACGCTATACACCCTACATATACACACTACAACCACTGTACACATGCCTTGTGCCCCCATGCACACACAGTACCCCTATAGATAAACAATGCTGCCCATATACACCACACAATGCAAACACTTGTTTTGTTTTTTCATTATGACCATCAGTGGGGGCACATCACTGATACAATCACAATATAATTTGCAGCAAATTAGGTGCATGCACAGTGCTAATGTCATTTAATAAATCTGGAACAGGTAGTATGGTATTTTTGTGCATGTACAATATAGAATTCATTGTGTACAAGCCACATAATGCATTTGAATGTTGGAAACAATTTAGTAAGTTGTCTATTTTTGAGATTTGCCAGGTCAGTAAATAAATGTATTTAAATCTCAGGATTATTCCTGTCCTATCTACCACAGGATTCCTGAAAATCAATAGAATCCTGATTTTCATTTTGGGGTGCACACACATCAGGTCATGTAAAATATACATGCATCTTACCTGCAATAGGGATGAGATCCCAAACCTTTGATAGCATAATTCAGGATATTGCCAATATGAGACTCGTAAACAAAATATTCAGAGTTCCACTTGAGACAGGTTTGATTTGACAGTGTTTTTTTCACAGTACCTCGATATTCAATTCCATTATCATAGCATCTGTGACTGACATCTAAATAACAAGACAGACATTTAAGTAAAAATATCCATCAAAAACTTAGACAAGCATTTATCCCAAAATTTAAATTATCTTTTCCAAAAATGTTTTTTGGACTGGGTTGTGATTTCTGGAGTAGGTTCATGTTGATCACAAGTGAATCTTGTCTACTCACATGGAACTGACATAGCTGCACTAACAATCATACATAATACCTCCACACTACAAATCACAGTATCGAATCATTATTTAATGGGTGCTTTATTTTTTTATACCCGGGGAACATACTGAATTCAAGCATCTGTCCTGTCGTCCTGTGATCTGTATCTGGGGACACTAGGGAACTTTCCATATAGAATAAACTCCTCAATAGACATGCTTGCACTATTCAGAGCAAACTCATGGCATTAATGTGGTTCTGTCACAAAATATAAACGTTTTCTAATCTTATGGAGAGCAAAAAACAGGGCGCAAGAGAATACTGAGAACGGGCAGCAGCTGAAATAGCCTGCCCTTCGGTCGGTCCCCGCTCAGATCTCAAGCTGGTTTTAGCTCATCTGGTGCCATTACAGAGAGAACCTCTCTGAAACATATCAGACTGGTCCCACCCATACAGGCAGTCCAGATCCGAAATGCCAGCAAGTTCTCTCTGCACGAGAGATACAGCAACCCCAGACGATCGTTTCACCCTTGTTAGGCATCATCAGTGAGGCATAGCTGATATCTCTCATGTCTGGATTACCCTTTTTCTAATCTTATTCTATATAGCTTCTGGTTTGATTGTTTTATTTTTCCTGAGAACTCTAGTTTACATTATATACCTAAATAAATAGGAGATGATAGGTTTCTAGCGCTTGATGTGTGATGAGGGAGTTAGCTCAAACAACCCAAACCAGAGTCTTTTCCTTCCGGTTGTGGATTAAATTTATACAAGAAAAGAGAAGTCACGCCTTGAAAATATCCACAGAATCCAGTCAATATGCAGCGAGAAGAGAGGACAAGGGATAGGATATAGTGTAGTATGTTAAATATTGATTGAAGAAAACAAAAGGCAATGCACTTACACTGTATGGAGCTGACTATTAGCTCCAATTTAATGTGCGTGGTCAGTATTATCCATGTCTATGGTGGGGTTTTGCTCAATCCGCAAGGGGTAGGAGGGGAATGAATACACTATCTCTGCCTTATGGATTCAATAAAACCATTTTTGCTCTGCATTATTGAGTACATATCCTATAATTTTACTACTTTTTACTTATATGGTGAGCACTATGTTTTATCCACATAACACCATGGTGAGGATTCCAACTGCATATATCCAACAGTGGGGATCAGTCCACTCCATGCTATTTATTAGGAGCAATCAGGATGCTCCAAAAAATGTGAGTGTGCACTAAATTTAGAATAGCAAAAATATGACACTATACTGGTGTCATTCCTTTACACAACCTTTGGATCACCCCTCTCATTTTACCAAGATACCAACCACATATCCATAGGCAGGGATAAAACCACCGAGGCACACCAAATGGGAGTCTATTGTCAGACCCATATACTGTAAGTACATTTCCTTTCGTTTTCTTTAATCAATATTTAAATTTATACTACACTATATCCTATCCCTTTCTTTTTCTATTTTTGTCATATTGACCTGTTTCTGAGGATTTTGGTGCTACTTCCCTTTTCTTGAATACACAAAGAAAGTTATGGATCACTTTTCTTTATCTATAGCTGTCCAATGAACACAACTTGACAATAGTCTGGGCTTAATCAAGGATTTTATTTGCCAATCAGATTTACCAACAATCCATCAGTAAGATCAGTCTCACAGAAGGGCAAACACTAGGCATCATGGGCAGAGGTGAACAAATTGGAAACACCCAGATATTGAGATCAGGCACAAGGAAGTTAAAACAAATAAATAAATAAATATAAATAAATAAATGCGGGTGAAAAAAGGTAGTATATAATCATTAAGATACAAGGACATAAGGAAAAATCAATAACAGAGCTATTTTAAGACCATGCTGAGAGTGCTTCAGGAATGGGCCGCCCTGAGTGGGACTGGTGGTCCCCTCACCTGGGCATCCAGGATCCATGCATTTTGCTAACTGTTTTATTTGTTGTTGTCCGCTAATTTCCCTTTTCTAAATCTGCAGGACAGGATCCCAAAAGCTGGACAGCTGGATGCTTTGCAGCTATCAGCAGCCAAAGTCGACACTTAGCACCTTCAGTTGTGGCATTACTTACCTCTGCCGAGCCGCGCAGACCCCCTCCTGCCGCACAGTCCGACCACTCCACGCGACTGCGCGGCACACTGAGGGAAACTCACCTCCCTCGATCCTAGTCGACCTCCTGCCGCTCGGTACAATCGCTCTTTGTATAGATGTGTACGTGATGTTACACTCACTCTTAAAGTGACCACGACATCATTGCGATCCTAATCTGTTTTATTATTTTCTCCAGTCAGCGCAGATATCATCTGCAATAGTGAGTATACTCATCTTAGCACCAACACGTTAATTGTTTAGTTTTAACACTGTTTTTAATTGCTTTCATCATTTATTTTTGTATACTCACTATGCTCTTACCAGGATTCAATTTAACGCCTTTTATTTTTAACACTAGTACTATTTAATTTGTCCCCCACATTTTAGTGTAGGACCCACCAATATTGGGGTACTTTGAAAGTAGTGGTGGGCTTAACAACATATGGCCATATGGTGGAACCAAATCTGCATATTTATTCTCAGATAGGCATTTTAGTAGCCTTTTTTGTGTTATATTTTTTGATGTCTGAGTGCGCCGCAACTATTTATTCTTTCATTTTTGGATCGCAGTGATGACCTGGACCTATCAGAACATAGGTAAGCCTATTCATTTCCCTATTGTGGTTTCTGTTGGAACCTCGTTTAGTGCTCCTAGCAGGGCTGGATTGGGAATGAAAAGCAGCCCTGGTAAATAATTCTATACCAGCTCCATAATGCATCGCGCCAGAATAGTTTGCAGATATGGAGAAAAAAAAAACAGAAAACTGAAAACTATCACTCAAACGTGAAAGAAAGCACTCATAGGGCTTCAAAATAAACAAAAGAGCGGATTTATTGTAAGCAGATGTGCATTTGCATATAATCAATGTTTCAGTCCATTTTCTTGATATATTAAGAAAGGTTTGGTCATTTGGACTGAAATTGTGAATGTTTGCTATGGCACAGCAGTAACAAAAATTATGTTATTTTGTTTTTTTTAAGTAATAAGAGTGTACTCTTCACTTTGGCTTACAAATGGATAAATTTCAGTCAATGCCAATTTAATTCACATAGGAAATCATTGAGGGGCTATTGCGCATGTGTGGCAAAATGCTGCGCTTTACTGCACCAATCAGCATCTCCTCATAGAGATGCAGTGCATCAATGCATCTCTATGGGGAGCGATCAGCGCCTCCATGCAGACTGTGTAGCACTGGACTAGTAAGCATCTCTAGTGGCCGTCTGAGTGACTGTCACTAGAGATGTGCCTAGGCAGCAATGTAGACACTGCCTTTTTTCTGAAAAGGTAGCATTTACAGTGCTCAGACACTAGAACCACTACATTAAACTGTAGTAGTTCTGGTGACTATAGTGTCCCTTTAATGTGATGTCTTTCTCTCAACAGTCGACTCTGAGGTACAGGGAGTGCAGGAGACACTAGTGAAGATGCATTTTGATTATGTCTTTCTCCCCCAAGTCTCTTTCATGTGTCTCTTAGCCCCAGTCCCATTGTCTCTTTCTCCCTTTCCCCAGCCCTTCTGTGAGTCTCTTTCCCAGGTCTCAGCACCTCTATGTGTATCTTTCCCCACAGCTCCTCTATGTGTCTCATTCTCCCCTTTCCCAACCCCTCTGTGTGTCTCTTGTTCGTCTTCCTCAGCTCCTCTGTGTGTGTCTCCTGTTCACCTTTCCCAGCCCCTCCATGTGTCTCATTACTCCATAGCTCTCCATGTGTCTCATTCCACCCTTTCCAGTCTCCCATGTGTCTCAGTAGCCCCCATATGTGTTCCCATTATCCACCAGCCCTCCATGTGTCCCACTAGCCCTCCCTCCCAGCCAGGTCCGGTGCAAGAATTCCTGCCGTCTTAGGCAACAATCCATTTTGCCACCCCCTCATGAAGGCAACTACATTCTCTCACAGGTTTAGTCACTAAATTCTGAATTGCAATGAGACATTTGGGGAAGAAAACACACTGTGTAGAAACACTCACCCAGTATATGCATCCACATAAACACATTGCCTAATCCATCCATCCACACAGACTGCCTATTACATACAAACAACCATACGCACACAGCCCAATACATAAATACACACACACACACACCGCCTAATACATACATTCATACACTCATACTCATACATTAATAGACACGTACTGCCTAATACATTTATCCATACACTCTTTTTCAATGCATTTTGTGGTATTTAATTTCTAATAATGTTGGGATTTAATTCATGTTACAGTGAACTTTAAGTAAAACATTTTTTCGGTTTAATATAGATTTATATTATTTTATATTATAAATATAATTTTATATATAACTATCTATTTACATGGTCACACACACACACACTAGCACAAACACTCTCACAAACATACACACACTGTCACTTACACACTCTCACTGACATACACACACAGTGTCACTTACACACTTACTAACATACACACTCTCACTTACACACACACACTCTCAGTGACATTCACAGTGCAACTTACACACTCACTGACATACACAACCTCATTTACACACAGTCACTAACACACACACACAGTGTCATTTACACACTCTCTCTCACACACACACACACACTGACATACATACACACACACTTACACACACACTATGTGACATTCACAGTGCCACTTACACACTCTAACTAACACACACACATTGTCACTCACACCACTTGCATATAGTCACACTTTATTTACACACACACAACACAGCAATTCAATACACACAGACCAATTTACAATAATACACTCATACTCATAATCAATTGCCCTTGCCTTCAGATGTACCATACATAAGTGCTGTGAATGGAATAGAGGGGTCCAGCCTGCACGTAGCTGCCGTGTTCCTGGTGGGGGAAGCAGGAGAGCAGTGCACTGTGAGCACAGGCTACATCCTGCTCCCTGCAGAGTTCTTCCGGTGTTCACAGGCAGGGGGCTCTGCTCGGGTGCTGGGGATACAGCATACCCCGCTCCCCGAGCAGGTAATCGGAGGCAGAGGGAGCCCAGCAGCTAAGCGGTTGCGCAGTGGGGGGGCTAAGGAACCGCTCACCAGTGCACCAGCCCAGATAGCAGCAGGGCAGCCCACCTGGGAACCTCCCGGTGTGCGCTCCCCAGAGGCCGGCGCCCCAGGCGAATGCCTTATTCACATAATGGTAGCGCCGGCCCTGCTCCCAGCCCTCCATGTGTCTCACTAGCCCTCCTTCCCAGCCCTCCATTTGTTTCTATAGCACCCTCCTAGCCCTCCATGTGTTTCTATGCCCCCCCAGCTCTCCCTGTACCTTGCTGTAGCATGGCCGAGCAGGCAGACCGTGGTGGAGGAGCTCCTGCTCACTGTACCCGGTCTGATAGGAAGCAGTTCTATACTCTCTGTGAACACTTCCTGTCAGACCGGGTAGGGGAACAGAAGCTCCTCTACCACAGACTGCCTGCTCGGCCACACTACATTCTGTGACCGGCAGGAGAGGAGCCCTCTTGCCAGTCACCCTGTAATTGAGCCGTGCGGCCTGCAGGCCGGTGTGCACAAGGTGGCTGTGCACCGGCCCGCTAGTATGCCGGCCCACCAGGAAATATCCCGGTGGGCCAGTCCGGCCCTGGCTCCTAGTGATTCTCTTGTGATTTCCTGTGTTTGACCTTGGCTTCGTATTTGACTCATGATTTCTGGTATCCTCATCCCGGCTGGCTTCGTATTTGACTCGTGATTTCTGGTATCCAGACCCAGGCCGTCTTCGTGTTTGACTCGTGATTTCTGGTATCCTGACCCGGCATTGTCTTGACTCTGAGTATTCCTGTTATTCCTGTCCTTGATTTAATCTTGACCCTGATTCTTGTTGTTTAGTTACGTTAAGTCCGGCCATTCTAAGGCTCGGTAATACATCTTTCGGATCCACCTTTTGTGGTGTTCCTCTTTCCTGCGTGTTGAGTTACGATACCCGTGACATCAGCAGGCCACGTTTAGCTTAGTTCATGAAAGCTTTGGGAACACCAGCATACAATGTGAGTTAATATAAAATATAAAGTATGAAAAAGTAGGTGAACAGTGGCCGCTACCGTCTACTTTATTAATAAATTAACTACATATTTTATAGCATCGTTATGTTTTGCTCAGTATTTGTATTATGCATTTTCTTTTTTTAGAATTATAATGTGTACAGTGTGTTTGTCATGACTATATGCATTAAAATAACTTTTCACATTCTGATTAACCAATAAATATTTATGAAGGAATAACAAAAAAGGACAACTGCATGGTAGTGTGTGCTGTTAATCCGTTCATTGCTAGTTGGAGCAACAGGAGCTCATATCTCAGATTGTATCTATTTTCACAATGCCACAGCTCTTGCCCTGACGTAATTTGCAAATTAAATTCCTGTCAGTCAAGGTGCAGTGTTGCATATACAATGTTTGAATATGAAGTCATGCATCTAACAGTTGTGAATGCATGTTGCTCGTAATAAACAAGTTAAGAAATGGAGAGATTGTCATGTTTTATTGTTCAAAAAGTTACATTAAAATTACATTATTAGACCCTACTTACCAATATTGCAGTATTTTCCAACATAATTTGGCTTGCATCCACATACAGCTTGTCCAGTTGATTGCATGAACCGACATGCACCCCCATTAAGGCACGGGTTCTCGTTACAGGCTGGAAATACAAGTCATAGGTTTATATTGTACTCTTAGTAAGAACAGAGTAGAGAAGAGTAAGTTAACACAAATGTCTCTTTTGTGAGAACTATTTAAACCCCATGCAACCTTCAAAGTAAGAAATTCCGGGTTTTTCACTAAACTTCACATTTTAGCAAATGAAAGCTGAATTGTAAAACTTGGGCAACAATAGCTGGTCTTTTTCAACTCGTCTCTAGACTCAGCTTGGCTACATTTACCTAGATTTTGCAATCCAGCTTTAATTTGCCAGTGAATTTAGTGAATAACCCTATGTTAAGAAAACAGGTATTTCAGATACCCGTTCGCTTGAGTGATTACAGCTCGCAGTTCGGGTGTTGATTTGAACGTTCTCCAGGCAATGCAGTATCCAAGTAAATTCTCCAAGCAATCTGACGTATACCCAAACATCAGCCTAAACTAGATGAAAGGTACAACAGGAATGAATGTATGCAGGCTAACTGGCCGGTTCATATGCAAGTCCCCATGCAAGGGGTTTACCATGACATATTCCAGAGGCATTCCCCACAGGACCTGAGAGGGGACTATGGCAAAGTACACACTGTAATTACATTGGCTCTCAGGTCCAGGACACTCCCACACAAAACAGGATAATACCTCCCCTGTGCCTGTGAGATAATTGAGTCAGGAACTATACTAAACTCAATTATCTCAAGGCACAGAAAACATACATTTTAATAACAACCTAAAAGTACCCCCAAAACACATGGAAACCCTACAATAGTCACATCCCCTGATAGCCCCTATCTGGGGGATCAACATATCTAAAAATCACCCAGATCGGTTCAGGGGTTCGGGATTTCCATGGAAGTCATAATTTGACCGACGCACACAAAGTCTTAAGCCCAAAACAGTCCCACAGTTTCAGAGGTAGCGGTCGGTCTATTTCGCGGAGCTCTTAAACAGAACAAATCCACGAACTGTTCCCCTGGCTCATGGGTAGCGTTTGTTCCCCTAGTTCATGGGAACAAACCTACCGAATACCGCTCTCCTGGTTGGTCGGTGAAAAGAAGCAGGCGTTCACGAAGTTGACCGGCGTTCGTGAAGTCAAATGTCCGATTTTAGTTCCAGACACTCTATGACCAAGTCCCGCTGCCTCTTTTCGTGCGACAAGATGGCCGCTGTTTTCTCTAACATGTGGCGTTCGGCCATACGAACAGTGGCCACACAGGGAGAGCCCTTAATCTGCAGTTTGCTTTGTAGTTAATGAGCCAGGGAGTTGGTCGGTGTTCAGTACTTTTATCTACCGAACGAGAAAAATCAAAGTTAACGAAACAAAAGGTGTAGTTTCTTCACACCCTATGATTTTATCACACACCAACCAATGAGAACGATCAACTGAGATTTCAAAGCATGGGATAGCCTTTGTAAAAGCTTATCCTACCTTGAAACCTCATCCAGTGCAGTGTCCTCACAGGGCTCATATGGATTTTTATTTTTTTTGCATCACATTTTAGTTTGTTTATCATCAAGTTTTTGCGAATCGGGTCTTTTTGTTTTTTCATTTATTTGTAATGTCTGGAATCATGGGTTTTTAGTCTGCCTTTTGTGTGGCTAAAAAAGAGAAAATGTAAGACTGAAGAAGATGTCTAATGGTACATATAATGTTACTACTGTGAGGGGGTATGTAACATTTCATTGCATGGTGAGTGGCTAGGGTCTTGGTGACCCACTAGCCACGCAGCATGGATCTGACTTATAAACAAAATTTCCAACTCCCTAATGTATATTTAATTAGAGCTCCCAACAGCCACTCATGAGAGGGGGCTGGGGAGAGACATAATTGAAATGCCGCCACCCATGGATGCAGGTGGGGGGAATCTCGGTCCCCCCTTGCAGTACTGCCATCAAAAATTTACACAGCTCAATCCCTGGGCCGTGAGACCCACTCTGAGTCTGTCCACAAGACATGTCCCCAAGCCTGCACACATGGAGTGGAGTGTATGTGTTTATGGAATGTAGTATATCGGGAATCCAGTGTAGGGTCTGCAGTTTGTATGTGTTAGGGATGCAGTGTGTGCATGTAAGGGAATGGTAATATGATTTCTATACTGTTTTTCCTAGGTTTGGATGTTGAGGGTTGGTCCCCATGTGTCATACAGGAAACACATAAGTGTATTAAAGAAAAAACTGGCAGCAAAATTAAATTTCGTTGCAATTCACCTTTGTATCTTTCTCCAGTGTGACATGTTATGGCACCATCCTGACAACTGCATTTCTCCACTCGACCTTTATGTATTCTGCCCCAGGTATCTCCATGATCATAGAATTCATAGTGAGCATCGTCAAAACATTTCCCTAAACAACAAACAGCAGAATTAGGATATGAGTTACATAACGTAATGTACACTGATCAGCCACAACATTAAAAACACTGACAGGTAAAGTGAATAACACTGATTATATCACTACAATGGCACCTGTTAAGGGGTGGGATATATTAGGCAGCAAATGAATAGTCAGTTCCTAAATTGAATGTGTTGGAAAGATTTGAGTGACTTTGACAAGAGCCAAATAGTGAAGGATAGACGATTGAGTCATTACATCTCCAAAACGGCAAGTCTTGTGGGGTATTCCTGGTATGCAACGGTTAGTACCTACCAAATGTGATGCAAGGAAGAACATCCAGTGAACCAGCATCAAGGTCATGGGCGCCCAAGGCTCATTGGAGTGTGTGGGGAGTAAAGACTAGCCAGTCTGGTCCAATCACACAGAAGAGCTACTGAAGCTCAAAATGCTGAAAACTCAATGTTGGCCATGATAGAAAGGTGTCAGAACACATAGTTCATCACAGACAGTTTGCTGAGTATGGGGCTGCGTAGCCGCAGGCCAGTCAAAGAGCCCATGTTGACCACCGAAAGCCTCTTAATGGGGATGTATGCATCATAACTGGACCATGGAGCAATAGAAGAAGGTTTCCTGGTCTGATTAATTAAGTTTTCTTTTAGATTAGGTGGATGGCTGGGTGTGCGTACCCATGGAAGAGATTATTTTTATTTATTTTTATCATTATTGGTATTTATATAGCACCAGCTTATTATATCAATAAATAAAAAAAACAGAAAAAAGGGGAAGAGAAAGAACGGAAGAAAATTGCTCAAAATCACCAAGTGTGTGTCACTCCAAATCACACGAAAACAAACAGAATATAATAAACAAAATGGTGAGAGCAAAATATGTAGTAAATAAACTAATCATGGATAATATATAAAACATGCATCAATCTTGGATAATATATAAAACATGCAACATTGTATGTTTTATATATTATCCACGATTGGTTTATTTACTACATATTTTGCTCTCACCATTTTGTTTATTAGCTTATTATATCAGCAGGATGCACTATGGTAAGAAAACAGGCCGGCAGAGGCAGTATGCTCTGGTCAATATTCCGCTGGGAAGCCTTGACTCCCAGCATTCATGTGTGTGTTATTTTGACACATACCACCTGCTTAGAGATTGTTGTAGACAATGTACTCCACTGATGGCAGTGTCCTCTTTCAGCAGGATAATGCACCTAGCCACACTGCAACCAGTGTTCAGAAATGGTTTGAGGAATATGACAAAGAGTTCAAGGTGTTGCCATGGCCTCCAAATTACACAGATCTCACTCTGATTTGTGCATCTGTGAGATGTGCTGGAACAATAAATCTGATCTATGGAGGTTCCACCTCGCAACCTGCAGGAATTAAGGGAACTGCTTCTAATGTCTTGTTACCAGATTTCACAGGTCATGTTCCGAGGTCTTGTGGAGTCCTTGCCTTGACACATCAGAGCTGTTTTGGTAGCACAAGGGGGACCTACACAATATTAGGTGAGTCATTTTAATGTTGTGGCTGATCAGTGTATAATAATGTAATATATATAATTATAATGCAATAACTTTGCACTACTGTGTATCTGACTTTCAGGATTATGTGAAATCCTGATCACATTCTTATATTTTTCTTCCAGATTTCTTTGCTTTTCCTGGGTACATATTCTAGTTTAGCTGTAATTATCTGCCTTAGAACAAATGAGCCATTTTCTTTTTTAAACTAAATGATGGTTGTAACTTTACATGGCCTACCGTGGTAGGGTAGAACATGAGTGCTCTGCTTGATTTCTCAACTACAATACACATTACAGTACACTACATAGTTATGGTTGATACCATTTTTGAGACACCAATCTCTGTCTCCAGTTGCAAATGAAAATAATTTATGTGAGACCTTTATTTCAAGCTGGTACTTTAATTGATACAGCAACATTTTAGATTTCAGTTAAAAAGTTATTGAAAAGAAGCATTTAAAAGGCCTAACCAACTAGCACATTAGAGACATTTGTTTCCTTGGAATGTTGTAGCCTAGAAATTAAGACTAATTTTAAAAATAATTGTAATAAATATTTAACAGCATAACAAAGATAATTAGGTTTAAGAAGTATTGTTTTAATTATTACTTACTTAAATTACAATTTGTCCCCATAAACCCCTCAGGGCACGCACAATGATAAGAAGCACCAGCAAGTACATCGATACACACGCCTCCATTTTCACAAGGATTAGGTATGCAAAGATTCGAGACACCTGCAAACAGATATCAATATGGTTTTAGGGTAAGAATACGTCTTTATTTACAGTAAAATGTTTACACTAACCCCTCCTATCAGCCGTCTAGCACCATCATATCAAAAGTAACAATTTTCTGAAATGCAATAGTTATTGGGAAGAATATGGTGATATTTCTCCTCAAATTACATCAGAATCTCCAGCAATTATTCATTTTTAAAAAAGTAGAAGATAAAGCTGTTAAGTTCTAAATATGTTCTGTTAATACTTTTTTTAAACTGTTCCGTTTTGGACGGGTATGTATTATTATTAATATGACATCTATCGCACTTTAAGTACTGTTTTTAGCCACGTAAGGACCATCTCTAATTATAAAACATATTAGAATGCGTTTAACATGAATAACCAAAGGGAAATATTTCAAACGCATGCTGATAATTAAGTATTATGAGTTCTAACCACCAGAGGCAGGCATGGAAATTGTTCATTTTCTATAAAAAAAAAATATATTATAAAAGCACAATATTAATACGATTTGTTATGCTCTGTGTGGCAGGATAGCATTACAGTTTCAGTACATACACTACAAAAAAAACAAAAAAACATTTATATCTCATTCTTACTTGCTCTTGCCATCTTTTTAATTCTGAGTTGTAGATGCTTTTTGTCATTAGATATGTCCACAACTTGTCATATGTGTCACCGAACATGTTTTTACAAAGTCTATTTAACCATGTAATATAATAATAATAATAATGAGCAATTTTTATAGCGCTTTTCTCCCTGTGAGACTCAAATCACTTTACAAATATACAAACATAAAGACATAAAAGTTAGGAGTTTCTGAAGGTCAGATAAGCGGACTGAATGCCTGATGGGAGAGGTGGGTCTTTAGCTTTTTTTATTTAAAAGTCTGTAAGGACGGTGCCTCTCTGATTGCGCATGGTAAATAGTTCCAGAAGGTAGGGGCAGTGTGGCTGAATGCCCTGGAACCTTAGTCTGTCTTTATTCTTGGCACAGACAGGAAGGATTTGCTGGCTAACCGAAGTGAACGGAATGGAATGTAGGGTGTAAGGAGCTCTTTCAGGTACTGTGGGCCTTGATTGTTTAAAGCTTTGAAGGTTAGCAGGCCAATTTTAAAATATGTTCACCATTTAAATGGAAGCCAGGGAGTGGAGAACAGGTGTTATGTGGCAGGAACGAGTTTGATTGCCCAGTAGTCTGGCTGCTGCATTTAGTATTGTCTGAAGGCGGTAGAGTTCTTTTTCTGGGAGACACATGTAAAGTACATTGCAGTAATCTAGCCGAGAGGATACAAACGCATGGATTAATGATGGCATATCATCCGGTGGAATTAAGTGCTGTATCCTGGCTGTGTTTTTCAGATGAAAGTAGGCAGATTTTATAATGGAGGAAATCTGCTGTTTAAATGATAGTCCAGAGTTAATCAACACTCCGAGGTATCGTTCCTCTGATTAATGTAATGATATACTTTCTTTTTTGTGACTCTATTTTTGATTTTATAGCTCCATTTCTGCTATATTTTAATTGTGAGCACCAGTGTGATACCAGGGACTGAGCATTCTGCTAAATGGTGAGCAAACCGATTAGCAGTGATGCCCACAGACTCCAGGCACCATAACAAATTAGGTCAGTTGTTCTTTTAACTTGTCTTTTGTCTTTACAGCTGGTCAAGTGTTGATTTTTCTGTCAGCCAGTAACAGGTGGTAAGTTGTACCACCTAACATAAAAAGTAGATGCTACGCAAACTTTAGCAACGCCTTTTAATCTCTATGGGAAACATTAAAGATTCCAAGATCTGTTAATTACCAGTAGTGATGTCCTGAACGGTTCGCCACGGACTCATCATTGAGTAAACTTTGACCCTGTACCTCACAGTGAGCAGACACTTTCCAGCCAATCAGCAGCAGACCCTCCCTCCCAGACCTTCCCACCTCCTGGACAGCTCACTAAGAATGCAGCTTCACAATGAATGTAAAATGTATGCTGTCCAGGAGATGGGAGGGTCTGGGAGGGAGGGTCTGCCACTGATTGGCTGGAATGTGTCTGCTGACTGTGAGGTACAGGATCAAAGTTTACTCAATGATAAGTCCGCGGCGAACCGTTCGCGGCGAAGTGGGACTGTCCTGAATAGGTATTGCAGTCTAGGTATTATTACCATTTTTACAGCAGCTATGCGTCCTGACCAGGAAATGTATTTATTTCTCCATTGTTTGAGACTTTCCTCTATTTCTTTGCTTAGTTTGACATAGTTGAGGTCGTAGAGTTTCGAGAGATGGTAGGGGAGTCTAACACCTAAAAAGGTAAGGTAGTCTGTTCTCCAGTCGTACGCATATTCCTTCTCAAGGTCTGACCTATAGGTGTCCTCCATCCTCACCCCCATAGCTTGTGTTTTCGTGAGATTAAGCTTATAATATGAACATCTTCTGTAGGAATGCAGTATGTCGTGAAATGCTGGCAGCGATGTTTTGGGATCAGTGATGGTGAGGAGAATGGCGTCGACGAAGAGGTTTAATTTCATTTCCCTACCGTCGGGTGTAATGTGCGCCAACTGTCATAGAAGTTGAATTGCAGCAGCAATTTTGTCAGGGCTTTGCAATGAAGCATCCGTTGTCGTATGGAGTGGGTCTGTGTGGATGAGTCCAGTCTAGGGTCAAAAACATGGTTGATGTCACCACATTCACGGTCATTCCCTTCTGTACTGCTGTCACCTTATGTAAAAAGTTAAGTTGGTGCTCATTCGGAGCGTACACATTAACCAAAGTATATGTTACATTGTTCAGCAAACAAATTAAAATGAGGTATCTGCCGTGTGTATCAGATATTTCCTGTAGTAACTCAAAGGCCACTGACTTGTGAATGTATATGGATATCCCCCTGGACTTAGTGGCAAAGGTATTGAATGGGGAAGTATTTCATGCCGAATTTGGGTACACAGGCTTTAGGAAAGTGTGTTTTGGCTTAATTCAAAAGCATGTGCCGTTTGTGGGACATGTTAAGCCCACGCACATTATGGGAGTAGATCTTCAGGGTGGTTTATGAGATTGTTGCTTATTCTGCCAGAGTGGTGCAGTGGGCCGGATCCACGGGGGTCCGCCTCTAGGCAGTATTTCGAAAGCTAGGATGGGACACTTGTGGCTATGGGACCTCACTGAACTGAATCAGTGGGGGCTCTGGTTTGAGCTGTCAGTACAGCATTTTAGTGAGCTTGGTATGGCATTATGGAGCAAAAAGCGGGGAGGGGAAATAAAAACCAGGGGAACAAAATCAACATAAGTATATACAGTACAGACCTCAATAGGTACAAGGTACAGGCGAGCTGTACGTGTGGGGGGGTGGAGGCAAAGATGGTGTTAGGTAGAAGGCCTGAGCCAGCATAAAATTGGCATTGCGGTTACACTGTAGGTGGGGGACATAGTGTGTACACGTAATACATCGACAACAATTTAACTGCCGCACTGCACTGTTAACGTATGGCACACATTAGAAACAAAAAATATCAACATAGTAAGTATACAACAGAAGCTTAATGCATTGTGTGGGGCAGAAGCCTCACTCGGCGTGCGTGTAGGTAGTGCACATGGAAAACTTGCGGACAGCACTCAAACTTGGGACCAGTCCCTTTCAAGGCGTTTGGGAGATGGTGTGTCTGCTGTACTCTCAGCTGGGCACGGATTCCATCGTTGCAGTAGGTTTAACCCCTCTTCTACCGACAGGAGCAATGTGGTGGCGCCATTGCGCATGACAAGCAGGCGGATAGGGAATCCCCAGCAATAAGGAATACGGTGCTCTCTGAGGACCTCAGTGACTTTTTGGAATGCCTTCCTGTGTCGCAGTGTGGCAGCCGAGATTTCCGCGAAAACTCTGGTGGTAAGAATTCTGGTGGTAAGTCCTTCGCTGTGCGGCTACTGCAGAGGATCAGCTCCTTCACATGAAAATAATGAGCCTTGAGTAGAGTGTCCCTAGGTAATGAGGCAGCAATGTGTTTGGGCTTTGGGACCCTGTGTAGACGGTCCAGCAGCAACATGTCGACCGGGATGTCCGATAGTAAGGCCTTGAAGAAGCCACGTACCCCGTTCGCGACCCTAGATTGTGTAGGTCTCCCTTGATCTCGGCCACACTTTCCTGCCAGGTGGCTATCAGTTTAGTGGATTGTTTGTCCATGGCTGCCTGTAGGAGCGAGGCTGTAAGCCCCACTTCTGTCTGCGTGTCTAGATCGGAGCAGGGGCTGCTCCCGCCGGAATACCCGGCGCCATCTTGAAGGCCTGGGTCTGCGTGTTGCGAGGCTGGCGGTCTTTTTTGGGTGAAAAAAATTATTTTATCACCCTTGTCGGTGTGTCTCCGTGTCTTGAAGTGCGGCATGGCGGCAAGTGTGGCTATCTGTCCCAGTTGAGTGCCGGATTGGATCGGATTGCCTGGCTCGTGTTGCGGAGCTCAGAGCTGAAGTGGCCATCTTGCTCCGTGGTCAGGACATGCCCCCCTATATTATATATTTCAATAAATATACAATATATAAATATAATTTTTTTTTTCACTTCTCCTTCTGTTGTTTCCTCTGTTGGTTAATTTTTTTGATCTGTGAACCAAATAATTGGAAAATGTCCCTATCAGTACACAGCAGATACATACTTCATATTTAGATTATATTTAGCAATACACTGATTGGCTTATTTTCGCTTCCTTTTGGTTCATCTGACTCCTTTCCTGAACCAGTTTCTCATTATCGAAATTGTGCCAAGCCGAACATATGGCCAAAATACGGCCGTCCCGAAAATATTTGTATTTTTGGGAAAAAAATTATTCGGCCAAACGAAATTTAATCACCGTGCACAATTCTAGTGATTTCTTTGCTTTGATCATTATCAGTGAAAACATATTACCCTCACCATAGTAACCTCGTTTTAGAAAAACAAATTAGTAATTTAAGTAACCTGACTTGCTACGCAAAAAAGATTGATATTTGCCAGAGTTATTCTCTTAAACCATTTAGTTTAGTCCGTTTCTGAGAGGGATTTAGTGTTGACAGAGTGATGCATGAGTCTATATAAATATAATTAAACTAACATGCTGTAGCTAAATCTCCTGCCCCTGTGAATTGAAGACCTGGGCATTTCCCATGGTTCACGTGCCCAAACTTTTAAAAAAACACAAAAAATACAGCATTGTTAATGTTTCGCGATATAGAAACATTTAAGAACATTTAACTTGGCCACTGTCTATAGAATGTTACCAAAAAGCATTTAGAAACACACGTGATTCAATTATTACAGAATAATTAATGATGACTTGTCATTGTTTACTCTCACAGTTTTAGTATCCATTTGGTATATGAGCCGAACATTAATATAAATGAATATAAATGACATAATACGGCAAAGAAAACATATCTGCAAAAAAATAACTTGAGATCTGAGTATCTGTTACTGGTTTAAAATAAAAAAATAATAATTTTAGCATAATATATTTTACTTACAATTCATTTTTTAAAAAATTATTTTAGCAGTCAGAAATCAGAGAGTGAGAAAGTTTTTTATTTGTGTTTGGGAAGTTTTCTTTAATCATCTTACATACAGTTCCAAGCTCCTGAGCTGACAGAAGCAGCAATATTGAACTAACAAATGGTCCAGGGGAGCTGATAACTAGATGCCTGACATGCATACACTTCTAAGTTATGACAGAACATTCATCTGCACAGAAACTTTTCTAAAATCATCTTCACAGCAGTAAAAGGATCAGTATTCTATACCAGGATATAGCTCTGCAGGTCTCACACAATTCTCTCCGATAAAAGAGCCCAAAACAAAATTTTAGTGGCTGTTTAATGATCCAATTCCTCCTCAGAAGCTAAACTAAAAACAAAGACGTCTCATAAAAGAAAAACCATCAAATTAATGAACAATCTCTATGGGGCATGCTACAGCTACCAGAAAAAAAAATTACTTGATTAACTGCCTCAAACTGTACAGGTTAGCTTTCGGTGTCTAAAAAATACAAATACTCACAGTGTAACGTATCTCAATAACTAACCCTGCCTATGCATACCTAGGCACTGAAAGAGTTACTTTGTTGAGAGCTAGTCAAGGGTATTTTATGTCAGATCACTCAATTTAATTGATATACTTTCCTAAAGAATTGAGTTAAACAAGAGTGTAAGACTGTATTACAAAAGGTTTTTTTTTTTGTAAATGTAAATGTCTTATGAATTAGATATTAACATATCATAGAAAAATATCAAAAATAAAATTAGTAAATTAACTGCTGTGTTTAGTGTGTAGTGTAAGAGTTATGTAGACTAATTCATGGCTGCTGGTACACGTTTAAATATGCTAAGGCACCTTTAATTCTCCAGACTGACCAACACAACGTGCTTGACCATATAGCATGACTTGCTAGACCATTGCACGGCTTGTGAAACCATAGCACAGCTTGCTCAACTGTAGCAAAGCTTAGAATACTCTAGCATAACTTTCATGAACACAGCATAGTATGCTAGACATAAGTACTACTTGTATGACTACCTAACAGTGTAGTTGACTATAGCACAGATTGGTAGATCACAGTAACGCTTACGGAACAATCATAACTTTTCTACACCTTTGAAATAATTGAATATACTAAAATGTATCTTTGTTATGTTACTACTAACTATGTTACTACGTTTTCTACCATGCAGACAATTTTTATTTTAATTAACACATTAGACCAAAACCAGTCATTTATTCTATCTGAAACCACTTTTTTATAGACTCATGTAAAATAATTATTACACAAGTTCTGGATGACTGATCCCCTTTGAGGAAATTCAAAGAAATTAGTTTTAACGAGCTTTAGCAGTGTTAATGCCTAAATCATTAAGAACCTTCCGTGGCAATTTCACATTTTCTTTTCTTTTCGCAAACGATCATTGGCTCTATTCTATTAAGGTTTTGTAAAACTAAACAGAGTAAAGAGTTTGTGAGCAGCATAAAGCCGACCGTTACACATCGGCACTCTGCACCAATTTCCAGGCCATGTTATACGACGTTATTGAAGAGGACAATATCAGTTCAATCGAGGTTTCCAGATGCCCCTTCATTGTTCAACACTTTTTGGCCCACCAGGAAATTCCAGTCTAGGCTTCATCCGTGCCAATCATGGCCTCTTTCCAAAACAAACAAACAGTTAAATATTGCTGCAGGTTTTATGCAGGAGGAGTTAGAAAATAGTCACTAACTTAAAGGATGACAGCCATCCATGCAATGCTCGCTACTTCTGGTCTGAGCCCACACTGATATTAAATGCACAAATGAAAAGTAGTTTAGCACCTCATAATGGCAGCAAGTTTGGAGAGAAGCCATTGAAGTATAATAGCCTCATTGTAACAAAAAGGGTCTTTGGCTTGATGTTATATACACATTTAGAGGCAAGGTTCCCTTGATTTAGATTATTTTTTTACGCCCTAGGAAACGCTGTAAAATAGACTTCAACTAGTTTTAAATCCTCAAAAATTGTGCCTGCTGAACATAAATTAGTTTCAGTCAGATTTCCTTATTGACTTGACTTAATATCTGTTACTGATGCTAATAAAGTTATTCAAATGTCAAGGAAGAGGTTGCATTTAAACAGAAAGGAAGGTGTTATAACCATCAGGAGTCTGTAAACCTCTGATACTGTCTCTTACGTTCCAGAGATGGAATGTTACCATATTAATGGATGGCTGGTTACAGTATTGGTAACTTCGCTATCTTAGAACTGGAAACTCAAATTCAAATCTTTGGGCAAGACACCTAACCAGTGGCGTACACGATCCATGGTGCCCCGGTGCGAAAACTGATCTGTGGGCCCCCCCGGCATTTACACTGCGAGGGCCAGGGCCGCAACACATGGCGGCGGGCACATTGCCGCAGGGGTCACAGGGCTGCGACCCCTGCGACCATGGTAGGTACGCCAGTGCATGCAGATACACATACACTTACAGGACCACTATAGGAACACAGACCACTTCAGCTCAATGAAGTGGTCTGGGTGCCAGGTCCCTCTAGTTTTAACCTGCAGCTGAAAACATAGCATTTTTAGAGAAACTGCTATGTTTCACTGAGGGTTAATCCAGCCTCTAGTGGCTGTCTCACTGACAGCTGCTAGAGTTGCTTCCACTATTCTCACTGTGAAAATCACAGTGAGAAGACACTGGACGTCCATAGGAAAGCATTGAGTAATGCTGCGCATGCGCATTTGGATCTGAGAGGCGGATAGGGGCAGAAAGATCGCCAGCACCAAGGGAGCCCGGCGCTAGAAAAGTAAGTGTTGAAGGGGTTTTAAGCCCTTCAGCCCAGCGGGAGGGGAACCACAAGGGTGGGGTGGACCTAAGGACTATATAGTGCCAGGAAAACGAGTTTGTTTTCCTGGCACTATAGTGGTCCTTTAATGACAAACATTCAGATACACATACAGACAAACAGATACCCATGCAGACCAAGAGATACACATACAGACCAATAACAGACACACACTAACAGACACACAAAAACTAACACACTCACTGACACTCATTAGCAGACACACACTAACAGACACACACAAACTAACACACTCAGTAACAGACACATACACAGTAACACACCCATGACACACACACACACATTTTTTTTTATTTAATCCCCCAGCCTCCCTACCTTTGGGAGTTCTGAGGGGATTCCAGCTTTCCCTGGGGTCCAGTGGGGCTGCTGGGCTAATGGGTTGCTGGGCGGCCGGTTCTGCAGGTGGCGAGGGAGCACTGATCATCCTGTTCAGCTCCCTCGTGCGCCGCTTACTGATGCCGGAGCCGGAGTGACGTTATATTCCGGCTCCGGTATCACTGCTTTGCGCAGGTGGGAGCTGGTCAGAGAGAGCTCAGTGGAGAATGCTCCCTTGCATGCCCGCCCACCCGCCCGCAAAGTGACGACACTGCCAGCCTCGGGGGGCCCTGAGGTGGCCAGCTCCTGGGCCCCCCAGGATAAGAGGCTGGCAAAATGCAGCCATGACTCCCCTGGCGTACATACCCGGGTCGCAGGGCAGTCAGGCCCGGACGCAGCTGCGACCCCTGTGACCGCGGTATGTACGCCAGTGCACCTAACCAAATATATCTGCCTACAATAGGTTGTTAGTTTGTTTGGGCAAGGCCTTTCTCTAACTACAAAGCACTGCAGAATATGTTGGCTTTATATAAATAATAATAACTCTGTTTAGCATAAAAACAGTATCCTTTATAAAAAAAATTGTGTCTAATATGCGTCCTGTTTTTAATGTTATTGCTGTGCATGTATGGAATATTTGACTTTTACGTTTCCGGGGAAACTTTTCCTAAGTCTTTGTTTGGCAATCAGTGCTGTTTAAAGTGATTTGTATTGTATTGATCCCATATTATGTTATTGTGTATGCCCCTAAGACAACTATATGTTTTTCTAATGCCAAACTACATGGCTGCTGCGTCAACTAATAGGAAATCCATACCGCTGTAAATCTATTCTTTGCTCATTCCTACAGCCCATCTCCCCCCTACAAAGCAGGCACTGTATATGAACCCTTCTTTACCAGCTAGTCATGTCAATATACACGTCTTTGTGACTATTGTATAAAATATACAAATGCCATAATAAGACAAGATCCGGAGGTTGTCAGGCTGCATGTTCACCAAACAATATACTATTCAACTAATACATTATGCATTGAGCCTTGTGGCATGCATTTTGCATGATCTTCTCTAGTTAAAGGGAGCTAAATATTCTGGTAATCTTGTTTTTACAGTAGAGAATCCATCACTCACCTTTTACATAACTGGGCAAACAGTAGCCTCGTTCTTTGTCTCGATCATAGTTATGAGTAGTTGCACACCTAAAAGGGGATATAGGCACATCATTATTGAGTAAAATATGTTAAAAAGGATTGAACTGAATATATCTTCAATTTTCTTTATTTCCAGAACATGCCTCCTTTTTCACAATCATGAACTCTAATCCATGGTTAGCAGAATGGCACACTAAGAAACAAGGCAAAAGGTGGGTTAATAACTTGTAGAATGTTTTGGTATAAGAAATCCACAAAAACATGGGCAGGGTGATGATGGCATAGTGGAAGGGGCTAAAAGAAAAGACAGGGCCATGAAACAGCCTTGCCAAATTAGGTACGTCTCTAAAATATGTTATTTAGAATTCTTAAAGGGACACTATAGGCACCCAGACCACTTGATCTCAATCAAGAGGTCTGGGTGCCATCTGCCCCCCTGTTTTAACCTTGCAGCTGACAGCATTTCCATTCTGCAAGAACTGCATTTTTTTCATTGCAGGGTTAACATGCTTCTGGTTGCTGTCATCAAAGCCAACCTGGGACAAAAATTCAGCCAGGGCATTATAAGGCAGAGCAGCCCGATATGGATGTTGTGTCAGCATTGCATGCATTCACCCCAAAGTTAGCATGTCGGTCAATTCCTTTCCAGGGCAGCCGATATTCAAAGCCATGTGGAAGAGCTCTCACATGGGCAAACATGCCCTGTGTTTAACGCAGTCCAAGCGATTCTAATGATACACTTATTCTGTGTTTGTTGGTCCCTGCTGGCGAATTGTCTCTGGTTTCCCCATAAGTGGGACACAAACCAGAGAAAACAAGAGGGACAGGGTTAAAAGAGGTCAGAGTGTGTGTGTGTGTTAATTGTGGTGTTAATGTGTGTAGGGTAGGCTACCTGTGGTGCTATAATCATGTGGGGTTGTGTGTGTGGATGAGGCTGTTTGCAGTCCAGTGTGTTTCTGGATAGGGCAGTCGTTTGTGCGGGTGGTGTGGGGAATGGTGTAGTATATTTGTGCATAGGGATTATACAGTATGTGTAGAGGAGATAAGGAATGTAGTGTGTGTGTGTGTGTGTGTGTGTGTGTGTGTGTGTGTGTGTATTTTTAGGGACTCTATTGTATGGGAAGAGATGGGCTATACTATGTGAGAGAAATACTGGCTATGATGTGGGGGGAATAGGGTCTGTAATTAAAAAAAAAAGTTCTGTAATGTGGGAGGGAAAGGGGCTGCACTGTTTCTGGGGCGTGGGGGCTGTACTGTATCTGTGAGGGATAGGGGCTGTAATGTGGAGGGGTAGTGGGGGCTGTACTGTGTGTAAGGATAGGGGCTGTATTGTGTGCATAGGGGGGATTGGGGCTATACGATGTTTGTAGTGGATGCTGAACATGGGAGATAAATATTACAGCTGCATTACTAACTTAACTCAAAAATGCTCTCCTAAAATGCATGTGCTTCACAGAACACCTAGTATGGGGCACCTGTATACGATGGGTTTGGGTATCCAGCCAAAGGGACTGGTCAGGGCTCAAAATATACTAAGAAAAGACAATGAATTTTATCTGTCAAAATACAGAGAGCTGCACAATAACAGATAGGATGAAAGAAGGGGATAGTGAAAGCTTTGGTATTATATTAGGACATACACTCAAGTCGTCTTGGAATGCGTTTTTATAATTTGAGGTTTTAATTAAACAGTTGTATTTACTGAGTTTGTATATGGGCACAATGCCAACCAAATTAAATGTTTATATTCAGTTGCGTTTATAGAATCTGTATTCCACAAAATGCCAGCACATTTTTTTACAATTCCTGTAGGCAGTGTTGAAAGTATAGCATTACAATATATACCAAATAATCTCGCCTATCTTCCTCTAGCCCAGTGGTTCTCAAGACCCACCAACAGTCCAGGTTTTGTTAGTATCTCCATTGGGATAAAACGGGGAATACATAAATCCTGGACTGTTGGTGGGCCATGAGGACTGGCTTGAGAACCACTGCGTCCAGCCAATCCTGTGATAAACATTATTTCAAAGAATTAACAAATAAATACAAATTACACTCTATTGTTAATTATTGACACATTTAAAGCTGTAAACGATGCAAACCAATCACAGTTTGACTCTTTCAATCACAGTTTCACTATGTTTTTTCTACCATGATTGATTCACTAGAAAGGAACCCATATCTTACGTGAAATAATCAAGTTTAAGCCATCACAATTTTTCTGAAAAAGAGTTATCGATACATTAACAGAATTATCAAAAGCTTAGCAAATTCAAACCACCTAAAAGGACTTTATAAACCAAAGGAAACGTTTTTTCAACATTTAAACCAATATCCCAAAAATGTAAATTTTTAAATGTACTATACCGAGTGCGCGTTTGTTCATTATTTGTATTCGAGCCTTTTCTGGAGTCAAACCTACAGTAATCCTGTACCTACACGTAAATAATCTTTCCTGTTGGCAGTGTGATATAGTATATATTTTTTTTAAATAATGAGGTAGTTAGGAGGTTAATAATCAAATGAACAACTGCAAGTGGTAATAAATTCAGGGTTCCTTGCAAGTGGTAATAAATTCTTGATCGTAATTGTAAAAAATCCCCACCAACTCTTCCTTTGTTCTATGCTTCACTCATTCTCAGATTTAATATTATCCTCTTGCATAGCTCTATATATCTGTCTTCTCCCCCTTGACATGCATTAATCTCAGTATCATGTTCTAAAACACCTTCTTTTTCTAGAATGCAGTCTTTAAATTTCTCCTCCTGCAGGGGGTCGGATAGTCCCCTGAACCATTTGTCAGGATGAAGAGGTGTTAAGCAATAATGCCAGTACAAGTTAGTGGACATATTAACATCTTAAAGTCCTCAGGTTAATTTCACAAATACTGGAGTTAGTCTGGAAACGAACATCTCTTGTAGTAACAAAACTTTATAATGTTTTATGCAATATAAAGTTCTCCTCAATTTCTGTAAATGTTATGTTTGTATTCCCAAACATAGCACAGATTACCCAGTAGGTGACCAAGGCAGAACAGACAATGCTCAATCACTGCACACACTCTCACTCAGTCAACACACACACACACCTCTCACAGAAACAGAGCCCAGGGGTGGACAACCTTAATCTGGACCTGCTTGCAAATGTGACCCATTGCTTCTACAAACTCTTCCTGTAGTCATACTGTATTAAAGGGGAAGTCAAAGCACCAGAGGCCTTGCATCCATCTACCCATCCGAAAAAAAATATTAAAAATAAGAGACTACCCACCTCCCTAACCTTCTTCCTGCCCGCTTTCGTTCCTTCTTACTTTACATTATGTTTCTCCATTTATCAATGCCTGCCATTATTCTTTAATTCTCTCTGGCCACCACCCCCAAACTCCCCCTGCCACCTCTTATCTCAACTCCCCATTTTAACTGTTAACCTGAACAACTTTAGCTTAATGAAGCAGTTTTGGTGTATATAACATGCCCCTGCAGCCTCACTGCTCAATCCTCTGCCATTTAGGAGTTAAATCCCTTTGTTTATGAACCCTAGTCACACCTCCCTGCATGTGACTTGCACTGCCTTCCATAAACACTTCCTGTAAAGAGAGCCCTATTTAGGCTTTCTTTATTGCAAGTTCTGTTTAATTAAGATTTTCTTATCCCCTGCTATGTTAATAGCTTGCTAGACCCTGCAAGAGCCTCCTGTATGTGATTAAAGTTCAATTAAATTAATAAGTTAAATCAATTAAAGATTGAGATACAATTATTTAAGGTAAATTACATCTGTTTGAAAGTGAAACCAGTTTTTTTTTTTTTCATGCAGGCTCTGTCAGTCATAGCCAGGGGAGGTGTGGCTAGGGCTGCATAAACAGAAACAAAGTGATTTAACTCCTAAATGACAGTGAACTGAGCAGTGAAATTGCAGGGGAATGATCTATACACTAAAACTGCTTTATTTAGCTAAAATAATTTAGGTGACTATAGTGTTCCTTTAATGCAGAGCATGAGGCCTTCAAATTTCAGTTCTGCAAATATTTTGCCTCTAGAAAGCAATGTAAAAACTAATTTGTCTAAAAAGAAAGAGTGTCTTTTCACCAAAATCTCTGCGCAGGTGTTTAGGGTGTCCTTTTAAGGCTTACTGGACATCAAAGGTCTGTAGTCCTGCTACAGATGCAGACTAACCATTTGGTCATTCTAGCTGTAATGAAAAATTTTATATATATTTACTCATCATCCAGCATTATCATTAAAGGACCACTCTAGGGACCCAGACCACTTCAGCTTAATGAAGTGGTCTGGGTGCCAGGTCCCTCTAGGATTAACCCCCTTTTTTTTTTTTAAACATAGCAGTTTCAGAGAAACTGCTATGTTTATAAATAGGTTAATCCAGCCTCTAAAGCTTCTAGTGGCTGTCTCATTGACAGCCGCTAGAGGCGTTTGCGTGCTTCTCACTGTGAAAATCACAGTGAGAAGACGCAAGCGTCCATAGGAAAGCATTGTGAATGCTTTTCTATGAGACCGGCTGAATGCGCGCGCAGCTCCTGCCGCGCGTGCGCATTCAGTCGAAGAGGAGGAGAGGAGGCGGGGAGGAGGAGGAGAGCTCCCCGCCCGGTGCTGGAATAAAGGTAAGATTAACCCCTTTTCTCTCCCCAGAGCCCGGCGGGAGGGGGACCCTGAGGGTGGAGGCACCCTCAGGGCACTATAGTGCCAGGAAAATGAGTATGTTTTCCTGGCACTATAGTGGTCCTTTACATTTTGGATTTATTCTTTATTGTTGTGTCTATGATTTGATATATAAATTTGAATGTACTTCTTATATACATGTCTTATCTAATATATATATTTTTTTAAATTCTTCCCTTGGAAATGGACATCCAATAAACTGAAAAAAACAACAACAAAAACAAAACACAAAAAGAACCGCATAAAAACCCAATGATTGGACACAATAAAAGTAGTTTGTGTTGGCCTAATAGCTGCTGACAAACAGGGTGTGTGAGCTGTGCGGCCACACAGGGTGTGCGAGCAGGGCGCCATGAAGCAGGGGGCGCCCTGCGGCCGACACAGCTTACACATTGCCGGCTTCCCGGGTGGAGGATTTCATTATTCTCCACCCGGGATTAAAAAATAAACAAACCAAAACAGTGCGGGGGCGGGTCTTAGCGTGCAGCAGGGCGGGGCTTATCGTGTGGCAGAGGCAGGGCTAGAAGTACTGGGCAATTGCTGCATGGGAAGCAGGAAGGAGTCCCTGCTTCCCCAAAAAACAGAATTCAAGAGCTGCACTACTTCCACATCCATAATAAATAGAGGTAACTATGTGTGATTGTCTGCCTGTGTGTGACTGTCTGCCTGTGTCTGTGTGTGTGTGTGACTGTCTGCCTGTGTATGTGTGTGTGCGTGTGTGTGTGTGACTGTCTGCCTTTGTGTGTGTGACTGTCTGCATTTGAGTGTGTGTGTGAATGTATGTCTGCCTGTGTGTGTGTGACTGTCTGTCTGCCTTTCTGTGTGTGTGTGTGACTGTCTGCCTGTGCGTGTGTGTGTGCGCGTTTGTCTTCCTCTGTGTGTGTGTGTGACTGTCTGCCTGTGTGTGTGTGTTTGTGTGTGTGACTGTCTGCCTGTGTGTGTGACTGTCTGCCTGTGTGCGTCTGTCTGCCTGTGTGTGTGTGGCTCTCTGCTTGTGTGAGTGGCTCTCTGCCTGTCTGTGTCTGTGTGGCCGTCTGTCTGTGTGTGTGTGGCAGTCTGCCTGTGTGTGTGTGTGTGTGGCTGTCTGCATGTAACGGTGTATGTGTGACACTGTATATGTGGCTGTATGTACGTGACTGTCCATCTGTACCTGTGTGTGTTTGTAATTGTCTGCCTGTAACTATGTGTGTTTGTGTGTGTATGTGACTGTCTGCCTGTAACTCTGTGTGTGTATATGTGTGTAATGAATATTTATTTTTAAATCATTTTTAATTTAATAAATCCCCTATACAATCACTACCCTTCTATACACACACTATACATGGATGACAGGGGAGGGGGTGGCACTGCGAAGATGTTTCGCGCAGGGCGCCTAAAGACCTAAGGCCGGCCCTGCTGACAAATGAAGTATTACACTTTGAGTTTGCCCCAATATTTTTAAATAGATTTGTTATTTAATGCTTTTCTCCAAAAATGGAATATCAAAAACATGTAGCACAAACTTCCTAACTCTATCCCAGCTAAATTGAGTACTCACCAAGTCCTAGTGGAAGAAGATTCAGCTATACACGAGTAATACAGACGTCCAGCACGACGAAAAGGAAATTTGCACTCTTTTCCATCCTGGGTTAAAACTAAATAAAACAAAAAGGAACCATTATAGCCAAATGTCCCAACATATAAAATAGCTGTTATAAAATATATATTACCGGAATGCATGTCAATAATTGTTCTTAGCAAATAAAAAGTATAAAGGGTTTAATTACTAAATAATTAATTATGCTGAATTTAAAATGGAATTACAAAATCTAATTTAAATAGCCATTTTGTGACTACAGCCAAGTTAAAACATACTGCCAGATTAGCTATGTTGGCCTCCATTTTACAGATGGGTTTTCAATCCACCACAATTCACTGTTTAGAATAAGGGTGGGGGCTCTAAATTACAATAAGGGGGGGATCTATTGTCCTCCCCCAGCCCCCAGCCCCCACCCATGAGCCACGATTGGGGGCCCTAAAAAAAAATAGAGGGGGTGGGTCTAGTTGCCAGCTGAGCAGGGGATGGGGGCCCTAAATAACAATAAGGGGGGGACTTATTGTCCTGATCCGGCCCCCACCATTGAGCGGCAGGTGGGGGCCTTAAATTAAAATGGGGGTTGCACCTAGTGTCCTCCCCTGGCCCCTACCCCTGAGCGGCAGGTGGAGGCACTAAATAACAATAAGGGGGGGACGTATTGTCTTTCCTACCAGCCTCCACCCATGAGCCCTAAATTAAAATGGGCGGTGGACCTAGTGTCATCCGCCGGCCTCCACCCCTGAACGGTGGGTGGGGGCCTTAATAACAATTAGGGGGCCTATTGTCCTCCCCCCAGTCCCCACCACTGAGCTGTGGGTGGGAGCCCTAAATTACAATAAGGGGGGGGGACCTATTGTTCTGCCGCCACCCATGTGCAACAGGTGCGGGCTAAGTGTAAATACTTCCCCCAGGTGACTAGAGGTTCCCATACCCCTAGTCACCCCCCACCCCAAAATCTTCTAATAAAGACCTACCTACCCCCCTCACCCTAAAAATAGTAAGGGGGGAACAATAAAACAAAATCTTTGTAAATAAAAATAACTTACCATTTGATGTCTTCTTTTTTTATAAAATCTTTTTTCAGCCCCAAAAAAGCCAAATAAAAATCCATAATACCCATCAAACCCAACGCTAAAAAAGTAATCCATCTTAACTCGTGGAGGACACCACGCAGACTGAGCTCCACTGGGCAGGGAAAGGCTTATAAAGCCTTCCCACGCCCTGCAATTTGGCTTAGGGCACTCTGATTGGTTCATTCCAAGCCAACCAATCATAGTGCTCTGCCAGTTAAATGAAAAGTCTGACAGGTAAGTCTCTACATTTACCTGTCACAGCACTTTGATTGGTTGGCTTGAAATCCAACCAATCAGAGTGCACTGTGCCATTTTACACAGCGTGGGAAAGTTATTTTTCCCATGCTGTGTAATTTGACAAATAACACTGTGAGTGGTTGATTGAAAGCAACCAATCAGAGTGTTGCTATGAGTCCAATTACCCACCAAACAAAAAAAAGACTCCCTCCCATTATCCCCCCTCCCAGTATTACCCCTCTCCCTGCCAGTATCCCCCCTCATAGTATTACCCCCCTCCCTCCCAGGATCCCCCCTCACAGTATTACCCTCTCACTCCCAGTATCCCCCCACAGTGGCCCCCTGCCTCACAATATTCCCCACTCACACCATCACCCCCCCTCACACCATCACACCCCTCCCTCCCAGTATCGCCCACACGGTATTACCCCTTCCCTCTCAATATTCTACCCCTGACAGTATCACATCACTGTCCCACACACTATCAACCCTCTTCTCTTACAGTGTCACCCCCCTCAAACAAACCTGTCACCCCCTCACACAAACCTGTCACCTTCCCTCATTCACACTGTGATTACTTCTCACATACTGTCATGCCCCCCCACACACTGTCACCCCCACAATGAAGTGTCATCATACTCACACAGTCAGCATCCCCACACACTGTCAGCCTCCCCTTTACACTGTCACCCCCCACAAACACTTTCAGCCCCTTACGCATCCATACTAACATTAATCACTCTTTTAAAAAAAATCTTTAATACATTCTTTAAAACATTAATCACTCTTAATCTTGTTAATCTCACCCCCTCCAAACTCACCTGCTCTCGCTCTGCCACACTCACCCTAATTCTGTCACACTCATCTTCTCTCACTCTGACACACTCTCCCCCCAACCCTGCCACACGTATCCTGTCACATTAATGCCTCTAACCCTGTCACATGAAATATAACCCTATTATTTTTTACTTTGGGTGTTAGTGGGGCCTTATGTTTGAGTTTCGCCTAAGGCATAATAAAGGCCAAAGCCGCCTCTGCCTGCCAAATATGCCCTTTTAGTGCAGAGACGTTGCTAGAAACCACATGGCCCCGGTGCGATAATTGCCCTTCCCTTGTGCCCCACCCCCTGCCCCTCTATTTATATAATATAACACATACAGATACAGACACACAGAATTACACACATTCAGATACACACTTCTACAGATACAAACACAGACATAGAATGGCACGCAGACAGATACCAACAGTGACACACATACAGATACATAGGGGCACACACTGACACACATGCAGACAAACAGATACACATACAGACACATGCAGAATAATAGACACACATTCAGACATACATATACACATACGCAGATACACATACAGACACATATGCAGACAGATACACATACAGACACACAGATAGATACACATATTGCCACGCATGCATATACACAGACACATTTAAGAACAAACATTCAGATACACAGAATGACACGCATACAGATAGAAACTGTGACACACATACAGATGCATAGGGGCACAGACTGATACACATGCAGACAAACAGACACACATGCAGACATACAGATTCACACACAGTCAAAGAGATATACATACAGACAAAGAGATATACATTCAGACACATGCAGATAAACAGATACACATACAGACAGACACGCAGATACACAAATATTCACACACACATACAGACATTCACATGCATACAGACACACACACACAGATACAGATGGGCCCCTTCAGTGTGGCCCTGGCGGTTGTTCCGCGTGTCCTAGGCTGCACAACAATGTGGAGGGCACACCAGTCACAGGGTTCGACAGGGTGGCCATGCCCCCAGGAGTAAGGTGCCCGGTCGCAGTTGCGACCACGGTAGTTCCGCCACTGCTTTAGTGTGAGGGGCCGCACAAAGTGTTCTTTAAAGGACCACTATAGGCACCCAGTCCACTTCAGTTTAATGAGGTGGCCTGGGTGCCTGGTCCAGCTAGGTTTAACCCTTTTTTCTATAAACATAGCAGTTTCAGAGAAACTGCTATGTTTATAAATGGGTTAATCCAGCCTCTAGTGGCTGTCTCATTGACAGCCGCTAGAGGCGCTTCCGCGCTTCTCACTGCGATTTTCACAGTGAGAAAACGCCAGCGTCCATAGGAAAGCATTGTTAATGCTTTCCTATGGACTGGCTGAATGCGCGCGCGGCTCCTGCCGCGCATGCGCATTCAGCCGAAGAGGAGGAGAGGAGGAGAGGAGGAGAGGAGGAGGAGAGCTCCCCTCCCGGCGCTGGAGAAAAAGGTAAGTTTAACCTCTTCCTCCCCCCAGAGCCCGGCGGGAGGGGGTCCCTGAGGGTGGGGACACGAGTATGTTTTCCTTGCACTATAGTGGTCCTTTAAGGATAGGTCTATGTACTAAAGTGTAACATTTTTATGTAAAAGTAGTAACACTACTATCAATATAAATTCCAGATAACCCTGCATGAGCACATTTTGTTATGTTACTTCACTTTTGTATGAAAGGTTTATGCTCATTTGATGCTATTGCTGTGTATGTCCTTTTTTTGTTTATTGTTTGGGTTTTTTTGGCCATGGTTTTCCCAATACTTTTGTATAAAATGTAAAATAAAGATTAAAATAAAATAAAGCACAAATATAAAAACAAGCATTACCCTGGTCTCACCCATCTTGTCCTCTATGAGAGGTCACCCTGAGTGGTCATAGACCATACAAATTTAACTGGCCACAAAACGCATAAGCAATAGATATGAAATAAAAATCATGGGCATCCAAGACCTGATTGTGTTGCAATGGCATGAATATTAGGGATGTGCATGGGAAAAATATTCGGTTCGGCATTCTGAAATTCGTGACTGCAGGTAAGTGTAGGGTTAGGGTTAGGACTAGGGTTAGGGAAGGGTTAGAGTTAGGAATAGGTTTAGGGTTGGGTTAGGGTTAGAAGTAGGGATAGGGTTAAGTTAGGGTAGGGTTAGGAGTAGGTTAGGGTTAGGAGTAGGGTTAGGGATAGGGTAGGGTTCCCAAACCCCTTGTCACCCCCCACCCCAAAATCTAGGGTTAGGAGTAGGGTTAGGGTTAGGGCTAGAAGTAGGGTAAGGGTAGAGTTAGGTTTAGGAGTAGGGTTAGGGTAGGATTAGGATTAGGGTATAGTTAGGGTAAGTAGTAAGGTTAGGGTAGGGTTAGGATTAGGGGTAGAAGTATCCCTAGCCCAACCTTAACCCTACCCCTAATCCTACTTCTACCCTAGCCCTAACCCTACTCCTAACCTTACTCCTAACTCTACTCCTACCCCTAACTCTACTCCTAACCTAACCCTACCCTTACTCCTAAGCCTACCCCTAACCCTACACCAACCCCAATCCTACCCCTACTCATTTTGCCATTTTTCAGAAGTCCAAAGCACTTTGGCACTTCCGAAATTCACCATCTCGGCAATTCGGTTCGGCATTCCGAAATTAAGCACTTCGGAAATTCAGAAGTATCTGCATGTTCAAATGTCAGAAATTCGGACCAAACCAAATTGCACATGTCTAATGCATATTCTTAGGAACTGAAGTTTGGTGCAGCAATCCAAGAAAGGACTCATCAAATTCCTGAACTCAGAAAAATATGCAAGGTACTGCCATTCACAAAATCATCAGAAAGTAGAGTATTCTGCCAAAATTCTATATATACACAGCAGGCAGTTGCATAATGCATTGCATGCCCAGCGAAACGCATGAGACTAAGATGCTGCACAGAGAAGGATTAACCTGCCACAGAGCATCAGGCAGATTGCTAATTTGGGACTCCTTTTTATTTCTCCATATAGAGATAGTGAATAGGGCCAAGAAAATTCATGAATTCTGAGGCCTATGTGCCCTAGTAGGCCGCCTAAGGTTATCTTATGGTTAATCCTGCTCCAATGCCTAATGTTCTTTTTTTAATTAGGTGGAATCTTAGAGTCCACCGGAAGCCAACGTAAGGATTGCCAAAAGGGTAAGAAGGACTGCTGGTAAGGAAGATAAGCATGAAAGCAGCACTTTGCTGTGTATTTTGGCATTAGTGAATCTGAAATGTGTTATACAGCTCAGGAACACTTATGTAAAAATAGCAACTAACTAAATGACTGTGCTCTAGAAAAAGCTACACAGCTTTATATTCTGTGATCCATTACTCTGCACTTTTACCTGACAAGCAATTCAGCATTTTTAGAGGTCAGAAAAGTTATTTTAATATTTTGAACTTATGAGGCAATTTGTGAGAGAACTACTTGAGAAGCAGAATGGTCTAGATGGCTTTGTTCACATTATTTCACAAACAATTAAGGGTATCTCTACGGATTTGCTTGCTGTAATAAAACCGTTAACATTTTTGAGATAGGTATATTCGTAAAAATTTAGCTTTACTGCATTATTGGGCAGAACAAATTATGGCTTGGTCTCCTGATCTGGTACATTAAATATAGACTGCTGATATGACCGTCTCAACATGAACAATAGAATACTATATGCTAAGATACTTGTGCACACGGTTCATAAATAACATTCAACAACAAGATTGGCTTTCGCCCTTAACCCCTTAAGGACACATGACATGTGTGACATGTCATGAATCCCTTTTATTCCAGAAGTTTGGTCCTTAAGGGGTTAAAGGGAACTGTAGAATTTGTAATATCATTTTATATCATGTTTAATTCTCCTTATAATGAACAAATATGTATAAGTGAGGAGCCTGGAGTCTGTATGCGTACGGAATGTGAACATTCTGTTCATAATGTATATGTACAAACTGGGTTTAACCACTTTGAGGCCAGTGGTGTAAATTTACCTCTAATCAATGAGCAACAATTCTGCAGAAACCAGATGTGATTAAGCCACCCTTGTGAAAACTTTCAGGTCCTGCAAGAGCAGGTTTTTCCGAGGGACCATTATTGGAGGAACAGCTACAGGGTACTCCAATCATCATAACCACTACAGCGGGCTACAATGGTTATGATGGTTGGAGTAATCCTTTCATTTAACTTTAAAAGCAAGGTTAACACAAGTTGTAGGCGATTTCCGGTGTTTTATTTAATGGTATAAATTTCAGAGAAGTGACAGGTACCCTCTGAGATACCCAAAATGAAAACATTCAGGAACTCATCTTTAACACAGAAACAGATTTAATTATACAGAGACAAAGGAACACACTATATACGCTCACAGTGATGTTTGCAATACATACATTGTAATGATAAAATATAAGTATTCACGGGTTTCTGACTCTGCGTTTCATGATTAGGATTGACCCTTTATCAACAACTACAACTTAATCTGCTTAAGTGAGTGTGACTTCTTTTCATAATGTCAATAATATTTCTAATACTATTTCTATTTACCATTAGAAACAAAAAATAACAGGTTAATTCCTTGATACATTACAGCCATAATCGAAATAACACTTGTTTCCGTTCTGTTTTACATTTTGTATTTTAATTCTTTATTTTTGTAGTGCTTTGCAAATTTTACAGATTAACAGAGACATTGTACTTGGTATCAGACAATATTAACTGGTAGAGTACATTACATGTCTGATCATTATAACATCGAGATATTCATGCTTGTGAGACATATGATAGGCGACGGAAGGTTGCTAAACACAAGCTAAGCACGCTGAGAGAGGTTAGAAAGGCCCTTCAGAACGTTTGCACCTTTTGTTTCTAAATTCAAGCTTATCCTTCCTATCTAACCAAGGAGGTGGGATGTCGATTTAATATTCCCAGGTGCAAGAGGGCGCCCTTAAACTTATAAACATAAAACATAATGAGGAATTATCTGCTTAGTTAACTTCGAAGAGAGGTAGTCTACGCTGAAAATACACACTGCAGTTTAAATGCTAAACAATGCTGTTGTTAGCCTACTGGGTGCTGGTAGCTGGCTTCTGAGTTGGAAGTAGTTTAATTTTTCCCTACTTGGTAACATGGGGAAGCCTATGGGCTATGAGACTAGCAGGTAATACATACATATGGGTCTCAGAGAATAAACATAAGAAAAGACATATGAAAAATGCCACTGGTTAAAAATGAGTTGGAAGGCATATATAGCCCCAGTCCTAGCGGCTGACTGGTTGCGGAGTGCTATCCGTTCAGCCTTTGCCCGACAGGTAAAGTCCCGATAGTCAAGAAGAGTGCTTGTGTAGTGTTGCAGGCATTCAACATGTGGTGAGATGCTACAACCTAACGTGCTAAACATAAGGCTGGGATCTATATGTTATATTAGCAAATAACTCACACCAGAGACCCATATGTATGTATTACCTGCTAGTCTCATAGACCATAGGCTTCCCCATGTTACCAATATCCAGCAACTTCGCACAGCCATTGAAGAGGATTGGACCAACATTCCACAGACCACAATCAACAACCTGATCAACTCTATGCGAAGGAGATGTGTTGCACTGCGTGAGGCAAATGGTGGTCACACCAGATACTGACTGGTTTTCGTACCCCCCCGGATCCCTCCAATACAGTAAAACAGCACAATTTAGAGGGGCCTTTTATTGTGGCCATTCTAAGGCACACCTGTGCAATAATCATTCTGTCTAATCAGCATCCTGATATGCCACACCTGTGAGGTGGATGGATTATCTCAGCAAAGGAGAAGTGCTTACTAGCACAGATTTAGACAGATTTGTGAACAATATTTGAGATAAATAGGCCTTTTGTGTACATAGAAAAAGTCTTAGATCTTTGAGTTCAGCTCCAGAAAAATGGGGGCAAAAACAAAAGTGTAAGGATGGCATAAGGTGAACATATAAAAAGGCATTTAAGGTACACGTTAATTACTTGTTGGTTGTGTAAGCGCAGAAAGTAAGTGTTACTAAATAAGCCTTAAGGACCAGTGGGTGCGTGCTGTGGTACTGGATGTGATATGTGAGAGCAGGAGGCTAAAACCAGTAATATCAATAGAGAGCAGCTGATAACCATCCAAAGAAAAGGGATTATAAAATGTCTGCAAATGTGTTTAGTAAATCTGGCTATACTAGCCTTTGTGGCTCACAACCCATTGTGTCTGCCTAGTGTTCCCATCACAACCACATAGAGTGAAAACAAGGTACCACTATATTATTAGCAGTAGTACGGAATAAGCGGTTCTGCATAAAAATATCTCAACTCCACTATAAATGACAGATCAGCAAAATCTGCAGTGTTTAGGAATCACAAAAATAAAACTGAATATTGGGAGACGAGAAATAGTAAACATCAGCCTTAGGGTAAGAGAGAAAAAAATTAAAAAATTAAATAAATAAAAGGAGGAGAGGGAAAGAGAAAGTGGGGGAGAGAAAGATACAACCCAGTGCTGTATCTTTAACGAGGCTAAAAAGGCCACCTGAAAGTGCTTTGGGGGGGCACGTTCGGGGGGTTGGCAAATACGCCGCCCCCAAGCACCCTGGCAGATGCCATGTTAGCCTCTTTTATGGGGGATCCAAGAGCTGGCCAACTGGCCACCTTAGGGACCCTCAGAGGTGTTCAAGCTGCTAAGAGTGCAGCGAGGGAGCACTGTCCTTTGCGCTCTTCCTGCTCAGCTCCCTCGCGCGCACCGAAGTGATGCCGTGAGCCGGAATATGCCGTAAATTACATTTTATTTGTATTAGACAATGTGTGTGAGTGTGTCAGTATCAGGGTGTCTGTGAATGAATGTGTGTGAGTGTGTCAGTATCAGGGTGTCTGTGAGTGAATGTGTGTGTGTCTGTCAGTGTGTGCCTGTCACTGAATGTGTGTGCCTGTCAGTGAATGTGTGTGCCTGTCAGTGAATGTGTGTCTGTATGTATCATTAGTAAGTGTATGTGTCTGTCAATGTATGTCTGTGAGTGTGTGTCTGTTAGTAAATGAGTGTGTGTCTGTTAGTGAATGTGTGTGAACGTCAGTGTATGTCTGTGAGTGAGTGCTTGTGTCTATCAGTTTGCGTCTATTGTGTGTGTCTGTCAGTGAATTTGTCAGTGAGTGTATGTCACTGTATATATATATATCGGAGAGTTTGTGCCAGTGAGTGTGTCAGTGGGTGTCTGTCAGTCAAACTGCGTGTTGGTCTTAAACGGGAAGAGGTACAGCCTTGACAGGAAGGACGTAGCAAATTTAGATGGGGGGGGGTTGCACAAGTTTCGTCATACCTAGGGCAGCACAAATGTAAAATACACCACTGGGTAAACCACAAAGTGAACAACTCTGCAGCTATTCATTGGAATTCAGGTAAAACATCCAGGTCCTCCAGATCTCTTTGTGATTCTTAAGCCTCCCTCCAGATGAAGCCACCTCCTGCTCCATCTGACAAATCTCTTTCACCTCCAGTCCTGTAGCTTCTGCAGATCAGTGCCATTGTCACCATGTGCCGAGAGAGTAATTTTTTGTATTTCAGGGTTGGAAAAGTAGAACTGCTGAGGAACAGACGAATGAAAAGTCACTCCTTCATCTGCCACCCTTAACATGGCAGTATGAATTTTCTGCCAGTATGGGACTATCCCCGGACATTCTCAGAAAATGTGCATTAGCGATCCAGTTTTGCTTTCGCATCTCCAACGCAATGTTTTGGGTTGGTGTAAAATGTTGAGCAGTCAGATGGAGTTCTCTCTCACTTCCCTTCCGGGAACAAATCAGCTTTGGTCTGGCAGAACCTCTTTCATGTGAGCTGCCAGTACTTTGGCCAGCAGCTTTATATCATAATTCAGTAAGGATATGGGTCGGTAGCTGGCAAGTGTTCTGGGTCTTCCTGTATTTTGACAGCACCATTATATGTGCCGTGAGAGACTACATGTTTAATTTGCCTTCCAGTAGTAAAAAGAGTTGAATGAAGCCAAGAGAGTAGGGTGCAGAAAATATCCACTTTTCTTGTAATACTGTAGTGGAAATCCATCTGGTCCTGGTGTCAGGGCTTACCTTAGTTGGGAGTCTGGTATGCAGAGATATATACGCTCACCCTTGCTAATAAACACAGACAAAGGTGACTAGATAAGGATATTGCTCCAAGTCACAATAAAGGCAAGGACACAAGCAGGAGAATCGTCGAGGATAAGCCAAAAGTCAGAGGGTGCCAGAAGTCAGGATAAATGAGGGTAAGCCAAAGTCAGAAGATGCCAGAGGTCAGGACACACGATAAGAATAAGCCAAGGTCAGGAGCCGACTGGAGAACACTGGATCCCGAACACAAACACAGTAACCAGAGTCAATGAATAGACACTGCCCTCAGGGAGAGGCAGTGTCTTATACCTGGCTAACTGGGTATCAATCTCAGGTGGGCTGAGATTGATAGGAGCAGCCCCGGGTAAAATTCAGCCCCCTAGTGCTTCAGACAAGGCAGGATAGGCCATCAGGCAGAAACATGAACTGAATTGTGGCTCAGAGACAAGACAGCAGGACTAAGGCGTCCAGAGTTCAAATCCCCTTTTTGGCACCTGTGGATCGGCCACGCTTGTCTGTCTGAATGGCATGGTGCCAACCGTGACACTTGGGACCCTGCCTTTTTTCGATGTTTTAATACCTTCATATAGCTCTTCAATATTGATTTCCGTTTTTAGGCGGGATGGCCACTTCTTTGTCATTCTATTTATTCTTCATGTGTATGTTAAATATGCTTCCATTTTTCCCCGCTGAGGAGTGGCTAGTCGAGGGTCCATATCTGTCGAAATATTATAGAAAGAGGTGTAATACGCATGAAAGGACACAGCAATGCCAGTTGGGTGGACTGTGATGGAATGGGTCCCAGTGCAGATCCTTTGGATATGAAAGCGGTCCTGCCGCCCCCTGTGTTTCTGGAACCCAGATACACCCCTGCACAACAGTCTTGTTCTCTTGATCTCACTTTATAACAGCACTGAATACATTATGCTGATCCCATGAATTCAAACATAAGACTGCTGTATAGTACAACCACCTACTCATTTACATACAGAGTAGCATATTTTATTTACTTTTACTTTTTCCAATACAGAGCAAACCTCGATAGCCAGGGCAGCATATTTTTGAAGCAAAAAAATTATTATTATATACTTACAATGGGAGGTAAGGATGCCAGACAGAGGCATGGGCCACAAGGAGGTAGTAATTATATAAGAGGCAAGCTTACATGGCAAACATGAGTTTCCTCATTTTGGGAAAACTTTTCTGGTGTTTCTAGAAGTGGGACAGGATCCTAAATTCAGTCCTGTCCCACCAAATCTGGCCCCGTTGGAAGGTATGTTATTACAGATATTGATTGAATGGACCTTTTTCACCATTATGTTTTTTTCTTATAATTATAAAAATAAATATAGATTTTGAAGGAGATATCTTTATTCATACCTGGTCTCCTAAAGCCAACAGTTCTTTGGTGATCATCTGTGGACATTCCATGCAATCTTGGGTTCATGGGTCGACCTCTGTTCTAAAATTCACATTGGTTGTATTAATATTCCCCCAACTATAACACAACATAGTTTGATTCCAAAGTTGACAATTAAATACGCCAGTTTACACATAATGTTTTATTTACAGATTATCTCACTTCAGATTTAAACAATAACCAGTAAATGATGGAGACTGTATTTTGGAAGCACACATTTTAGACCAAAAACATAAAAACAGAAATGATTTTGTTAAAGTGAAATTTTACATTTTGATTTCAGTTGTTTATTACAACATAAAAAGATGTATTTAATAAAGTCCACCTGGATCAGCAAGTTGAGAAATCTATAAGGAGGAATATATTTTCATTACAGCAGTGTGAAGTAAAACATGCAAACCATACCAGGCAATCAGCGACTTGGCACACAACCAGATATACGCGAGTTAAAAACCTGAAATCTTGAGACATCTGCCTGATGATCATTACAGTAGTTACCCTGAAACCATTTCCTATCTAAATATGAACGAGGGATTGTGGGGTTTGGTCTATTCACCAGCAGCTGTGATCATTTATATTTGCTCCGTTTTACTAAAGTATTTATAGTAATTCTTGTGATAAATCCATTTCCTCTTCTTTTTTTCTTTTTTTTTATATATATATATATTTTAAATCATAATTTATGAACATTACAGCATGATACATTCACAAGGGCAAACAATGGTACGTAAATCATTACATTGTAATGTTTATCAAGAACAAGAGATTCTGTACCAAATTCTGTGGTCTAATGATGCGCTTGTGCGTCGCTTTCGGAGACAGAATGCCTCCATGTACCATTATGGAAAGGCATTTGAAATTCAATTTAAAAAAATAAAACAGCTATTTGCATTTAAAAAAAACCCATAAAACTATAAAAAATATCTATTGGGAATAATAATTAAGCATAAAAATGTCTGGTGACATAGCGGAAGTAAAATAGTGTCACATTTCCAAAGCTCATGGTTAAAACCATCCCCGCTTATGGCCTGTAAGTATCTACATCAGACGTGGACACCTACCCTACCCATAAATAATGTGACACGGACATTCTATATAAAACAGTACTCACAAAGCAGGACAAACAGAAGGGTAGCCACTAAAAGAACAGAGAGTCACGTTCCTCCCACACTAGTGTTTAGTTAGCTCTGTAAGACTTACCACTGCTCCATATGTTTGTCCAAAATGAAACAGCAATGCACAGGCTGTGAGGAGCACTGTGGCTCCCATTCTGTGTCCTCACCTCTTCCAAATGATGTTCTCTTGAATCAAGCTATGGACATGCAGGCTAATGCAAACATGACCCTGACTGCATGCTTTGTGTTTCATAAGCAGCAGTGATTTTCTGTGAAGGTGTCCAGGGCAGCCTCCCTCCCCCCACAGCCATTTATAGGGTGGTCACAAAAAGCTCAGTTGATAATTAACTATGTATTAGTGAAGAGATCATGGGCCAAATTATATATGTACTTTGGACTAGAGTAGGACTTTCTCTGACTCTGAGATGAGAGATTATCTGTGTATTCAGTGAAAGAAAAAAAACACCAACCTTTTTCCATATATATTGCAATGTGTATTTTTACAGACATTATTTGTACTCATAGTATTTGCGATACAGAATGGTATATCTTTCAGATTTCAACTAATGGGTAATATTGCTTCTAATGTGAAAAAGAGCTGCTTTGAGGAATGATTATTGATAGTACAAAAAGTGAGCTATTCATTTATACTGTAATATTCTGTTATTTTACATTTAGATGCAGGGCTGTAACATCTGCTACAACCAACATTGACACAAGTGTATATGATTACTATTATTACTCTTGATATGCAGAATAACACACACATAGTTACAGTCCTCGCATCTACCCTGATTTGTTGGGACATTTAAGATTTCCAGGTCCTGTTGTGCCGTCCTGAAACAAGCATAGTGCGAGTGCATCTTTAGAGGGACTTCAGACCCAGCAGCGAGCAAAGAAACAGTGCTCCATTGGGCCCTCAGTTGACAGGCCATATGGTAATTACTGACCTGCCAGCAATTCGGGAGGACCGGACCCTTTGTGGTGAGCCAGTAACGCAATCACATGACTGCCCAGCCCCACTTTTCGTACCTCTCCCACCTCAGTCGCGCTTCTTAAGATGCCAGAGTTCCGAGGTGTACAGATATACAATGGTACAGTGTAATGATTATGCCACGGAATGTACATTATACAATAAAAAAAAATGGCTCTGTGCACAATCATCTTTCATGGCTATTTTAAAAACACCAGCTTCACATTTTACACTATTTACAATATCGGTGGGTCCTAATCTACATTTGGAAATGTCAACACAGGACAAATATATGCTGCAAACTGCTTCACTGCATATCTGCTGCAAGCAACTCTCCAACAATTTAAGCACTTTTCACGGTACGTTCCTTGATGTCCCTATTTGGAGAGTGGGATGTTCCCCAAAGTCTGATCATTGCTTCTATAAATACAGAAACATTATTTGGGTGAACAGGCTGTGCCACCCACTCATGCGCATTGCCTGTCACCCACATTTTTTTAATAGCTCCTTTCCAAAATGGATGCAAAAAAAAAACATTCCAGGTGCAAATATGATGCCAGATGCCTTGAGGGGTCAAATTTGTCCAGGAAGCAACTTACCAGCATGTTTTAAAATCAGCAGCTACATTTAGTTGGGTCAAGGCATGTATAGCTTGGTGTAACAGTTACACTCCAGTCATTTTATTTCTGCAACTTTCCCCTTCTGTTGTTGTCCCTCCCTCCATAGTTTGGGGGTATGGGGTGCTACTACCACGTTCTGACGGTTTTCCTTTCTCTTTCAAGGATGGTGGGTCACAAGGACGGCAGTGCCAGGGGAGTTATTTGTTGCCTTGGTGGTTGCTTTCTACTCGAATGGTCTATGGCCTCACAATGAGGATGTGGTGATAGCCTAATCGAGGCTTGGTGAGAGGTTTTGAGCTGAAAGAAGTGCTCTTAGCCTAAATGGGGGGCTTGGCAGATGGTTCTGTTGCAGTGGTTAGATCGGCAGTGCCGGAGGAGATCGTTGTCGCAGCCTTGGCGGTAGCTTGCTCCTGGGGATGGTCTATGGCCTCACAATGAGAATGTGGTGATAGCCTAATGGAGGCTTGGTGAGAGGTTTTGAGCAGGAAGAGGGGCTCTTAACTTAATTGGGGGGCTGGGCAGACGGTTCTGTCCCAGCGGTTAGTTCGGTTCCAAAACTGGGATCCCTGAGAGCGAGCCAGTGCTGGAAAGGTTAAAGGACCACTATAGTGCCAGGAAAACATACTCATTTTCCTGGCACTATAGTGCCCTGAGGGTGCCCCCACCCTCAGGGTCCCCCTCCCGCCAGGCTGGATGGAGAGGAAGGGGTTAAACGTACCTCTTTTTCCAGCACTGGGTGGGGAGCTCTCCTCCTCCTCTCCTCCCTCTTCTCCTCCTCTTCAGCTGAATGCGCATGCGCGGCAGGAGACGCGCGCGCATTCAGCCAGTCCATAGGAAAGCATTCACAATGCTTTCCTATGGACGCTGGCGTCTTCTCACTGTGATTTTCACAGTGAGAAGCGCGGAAGCCCTCTAGCGGCTGTCAATGAGACAGCCACTAGAGCTGGATTAACCCATTTATAAACAAACTGCTATGTTTATAAAAAAAAAAAGGTTAACCCTAGATGGACCTGGCACCCAGACCACCTCATTAAGCTAAAGTGGTCTGGGTGCCTATAGTGGTCCTTTAAATGGTGAATAGTTAATTATGCTAATTACAGTCTGTAAGTTATTTAGGGTTATGTTAACCCTGTGTTTAAAAACATTATCATTGGGGGTGGAGCCTGACTGTGGAGCTGAGCAGACACACTATCTGTGAGCTCCCAAGCCTGGGCCTAATAATCGACGGAAAATAGGGGCGCATCACCTTGGATTGAACCCCAACCTACCTCATCTTGTTATACAGAAGCAGGGGAACAGGGGGATACCTCGCATGCCTGATATGCCCGCTGAAAAGCCTGACCCGAGGCTTGGGGCCTACAACACGCAGGGCAGGGGAGAGACGGCCGCTCTCCCAGCCCATCAAAACAAACAACCTCCGCGACTCCTGGCTTCCCCCCACCACAGGACCGGCGGGGGTTATCCCGGTCCAAATAGCTCCGACCCTCATACCTCCGTGGTCTCCGAGAACTGACACAGATCCCAGCCACGCACAAAGCCTGCAGGCCGCGTGCCAATATGACATAGCGGAAACATTAGCCCATCCAGGCCAAAGGCCACCGGGGGCATGACACCAGCGCATCACCCATGCAGGTGGAGGCCTGCCCACCGCAGGCGGTGTAAACACCTCAAGGCCCCCAGACCTGTCCCACCAGGGAAGCAGCTCCCGAGTCCGTGGGAATACAATGCCGACCTTGTTGTTGGCCTGGAGCTGGAGGGAAGAGCTGGCCTGCTCCTGGCTGTTAGCCAATACCTGTGCTTACCCGGCGCCACAGACACAGATCCCCGCTGGAGGAATAGGATGACTCACCAAAACAGAGGCAGCCAACGCAACACTTTTAAACGGACACTACCCAGACACATAAACGATGACACATAAGCTCTGATGACCCAAGCTGATGATGCAGACTTGCAGGTTTATGCACATGCTCCTTTACATATTGCTGGACCCTTTTCATTTGCCACATATAACATGACCTAACCGACCACCAAGCTCCCTAGGCCAGACAAGCTACTGCATACACACCTGTCACACATAATGCAAGCCCACTAAAGTTAACCCAGCTAGCACTGCAACACCTATCTTATCACCCACACCTGCATTCTGTTCCACCAGTTAGCGACTCTGCCAATCTCTGACTAACCCAATGTTGGAACAATCCCGTCTCTTTCTTCGGTAGCCGAGGTTACACATAGTTACACATATCTAAACCTATTTACACTTTGTCCACGGAGGTACACCTATTGCTAAAGTCTTACACTTACTCACTCAAGCATACACGCAAGCGTGTCCCCTTACCCATGCAACAAATCCCTTTAAAGCTGTGACATGTCAGACAATATAAGCCTGTATTTAAAAATGGAAATATGCAACATTTCACCAGAATGTCAGTATCCACGCTGTAATGGCGTAAATCTTATGTTAGATGTTGCTTACCTGCCGACATGCCAACCGTATAGCCTTTTGACAAACTTGAATGTTATAACAAAATTGTGTAGTTTCAACTTATGCCGTATACATGTTAGCCATATGTTGCCGGTATCTGCTGTTGTGGCATTACCCGCATGTTTGCACTCTTCATGCACACAAAACCCCCCCCCCCAAAAAACCATTATCATTGCCTAATGTTGTCATAAGGTTCAATATATATATTTAGTGTTAATTGGAGGCAATTACTATTCTAATAAATAAAAATGGCTGTGGCCTTTTTTTAACCACTACGTCTGAGCCTTGTGATTTGATTTACAGTAGACACAGCCTGGTAGTCGAGGTTACAACTGTCAAGCATACAGAGATAAAACCAACGTATCAATTTATCTTTCTCATTAGCAGTATGTGTCTAGGCTGTGCCTGGACTGACACGGATTATCATGTTATTTGTTAAATCTTTAGATATAAATTGAAAAGATCCCAAAGCTTCGCATGAAATAAAAAGGTTAGCACATGTTATAAGTGATTTTCAATGTTTTATTCAATAGCGGATATTCCTGACAATCGACAGTTCCCATTTTATAACTCTACAGAGTCATCAGATTCTCACCAACATGCCTCACTTCATGCATCTCCCACTATACGACTATATATTATTACTAACTTCTCATCTCCAGCATCCTTAAACATTCCGCATTTGACATGCACCTGCCCTGGTTCCATTTACTCTTGCCTATTTACTCCCTCCTCTCCACCAGTCCATCAAACAGCCGACCTCTACCTGTCCTTTCTCTACTTCCTCTAGCCAAGGATGATAACCACCTGATTCTGAGATTTATCTGTCCTTTGATGGTTTTATAATGTTCTTGTGTTGTATATATTCTTTAATGGTGGTGTAATTAATGTGTTCTCTAATGGCTATTTTATTATACCAGCCCAGCCTGACTCCATTTGATGTTAAGGTTTTATTCTTTTTGATATGCTGTCCCAATGTCTTAAGAGTATCCTGTGATTTTATTATCAATTTACTCATTAATGATTATATAATTACTAATCTATGTGATGCACTCTAGATAAAGGCAGTGTACAAG